GAAAACTTCATTTCAATCGCCGAGCCAATTCCTATTGGACCATACGCGTCGCACAGACAGACAGACAGACTGGCACATGTGCAACGAATTAAATTCAAACGACTTAACAGCTGTAGTTGGGTCCCTTTTCAGCATGTAACGCCAACTGAAATTCAATTACAACTGCATACTGGAAATTGTGGCAACAAGAGAAATTGCAATTACAACAAACAGTGCCAGAAATGCCGCCTGCCTTCGCGGCCATGTTAATATATCAGCCGAAAAGTATGCAACAGGGCAAAAAAAGGGGGGATCGAGTATGCGCATGCAAAACAAATAACAAGGAAATGAAATACGAGCTCAACTGGAAAATTGCATGTCCCAACGAAAAACGTATATATATGTATATATGCATATACAATTGGGCCCACACTCGTATGCAAACACCAACCGGATGTCGACTCGCCAACGACGTCATTTCCGGCACTGTAATGCTGCAGCTACACACATCTGCAGCTATTGTTCTCCATCTTGTTGTGTTTGTCAAGATGCCTATTTAAAAATTTACTACACTTTGTAATTGGAAACACACAACAGCAAATGCAACTGCAACTTCACTAGTTGCTGTTATCAAATAAACATCAAATATTTACCATGAGAAAAGACAGCCAAAAACAGCAAAACTTGTTCAAACAGAGCAAATTTGAGAGTTAGCTAAGAAAAGTTTAAAGTTCATTATGATTATTCTATTATCTACAAAATTGAACAGCTTAAAATATCAAAGTAATAATAATAATCAAAGTAATAAAATTTTCAAATTTGAGATAATAATTTTTACTTCGCTCTCAATAAGTAATTTTAATGGCAATCAATTTTTGGGCATTTGTATGAATACAGGCTACACAAGTAAAATGAAATTCAAAAAGCTTCTCAAAGCATACCACCATTTCTCATATCGAAGTATAAATTGCTTTGCGAATGTTTTCAACTCTACTTTTTGGCCTAAAAGTGATTGGAATAGATACACACAACAGCTAACATATCTATGCAGTATATATAGATAAACATATATATACACATCCAGCAGTTAGTTGTTTTACTTTGCTTTGCTTTACTTGTGCACTGAGCTGAATGGAATATTTAGTGCGGACGAAAGCAATTCTGAAGTGAAAATTCAGTCAAATGCCAAACGGACTAAATAAATGCTGCATCGAAGTTTGGGCTATATCCCTATGGTAAATCTATCAAGTGTATTTGCATTTTAAATAAAGTTTTTCCTGACTTCACTGAACAACTAAAATTATATCAAGAAAATATATCAAATTTATTTAAATGTTAAATTAAATTTATATAATTTAAATGTTTCCTTATATAGTTATAAATGCCTGATCTAACAGATAGTTGTATATTCATATGAAAAGTTTTGACATTAAATTTCATTGTCATCAGATAGAAACTGAATTATCTTCCATAAAAATGTGGCCACAAGCTAATCCCAAAGGCAATTAATTGTGGTGGAATCTTATCTGAAATAATATAAAAATATATTGTGCGGACTTGAGTTAATTATTTAGCACTTTTGCTTAAATGTAGGACACACGATTAATACACAGAAATAAATGAAAATCACGATTTGTCTTTCTAAATTGACACTCCTCTATTCCTAGTTGTTTCAATAAACAGCACACAAATTTATAAGCAATCAGCAAATAATGTTGCACATACGCCACGTTGACAAATACAAACTGAAAATTGTGCACGATACATGTGAATGCCAAAGCAAATAAATAATAAATAAATATAAATATAAATATAAATAGCTATGTGGGAATGAAAATGAAATAATCTGCCAACTAAAAGGCGCATAAATAGCTGTCGAATGACATTCATTTCCTTTTGTTCATCTTTATAGCAGCCATTTTGTTGTCGCTCATCACACGTATGTCTGTGTGTGTGTCGCCATTTTGTGTACGCTTTAGAGAGTGTGCGTGTGTCTGTCTGTGGTATGTTGACGCCATCGTTCGTACGTTTTTTGTTGTTACGGCGGTCACTGACACGTGTACGTGTCACTTCAGACATAAGCGCTGAATTATGCAGGGAAGATGGTCGGCCAATTTTGATTTTATTTATCGCTGGGCGTGGATTTTTATAAGCGGCCAATGCTGAGGCAGCGACAATGCCAAATCAATGCCATCAAATTACAAATCATTAACATAAGATTAGCATAATTAATTTTGCACCTCTAAGCGCCAAGCATGTTGATTAATTTGATTTGTCTCATCTCTCTCAGCAATTCGAGTGCGAATAGCAATTGACTCAATTGCAATTTCCTTAACATACACACACACACGCACATTTATAGAAAGATGTAGATAGGAACTACCTACGGAAACAGAACGATGTTTCTATGTACTTCAACAAAGTTGGATTATCAATGATTGCTGTTCACGTTTATACTTTTATATATATTTCATTTAAGTACAAAAGCTGTTGAGAAGAAGCTTATTCAAACAGCAAGAAACAAGTTCGTGAAGAATTGAAAGTTTTTTGCTCCGTGCACTTTACTATTTATTGTGAAATGCAATTACAAAACTGAAGTATTGTAAGCAATAGCTGAATGCAGATAAAAGTTTGCCTAAATGAATGATATTCTGTTAGTTATTTACTGTTGTAAATATGTTTTAAATTGCAATAATATAAATGTAAATAGTTATGACAGAGCTGTGCATATCAATGCTTTAGTTTTCATAAAATCACTTTATGACATTTCTCAATCTGAGTCTTAAGAAAAAAAAAGGCCACAAAGTTTTTAATATAGAATATAAAAAGAAAATATTGCTTTTATATATATTTGGTCATTCTGATTCACATTCTTATGAGGACAAAAGTCAAAGTAATATGCACATATACATATATATTATTCCCACATTTTGAGTTCATGTCTTTGAAAGCAGACAGCAAAATGCATTTGTTTTCATTTACAGAGCATTTTATATCTGCTGTTTGCTATGCAATTTTATAATGGATTTCTCCACTCACACGCACATGGTATGCATATGGCTCACATATACACATACATGCATTCTCTCTTGCGGCAGCCAATTATCAAAATCAATAACAACAAGCATATCCACACATGAGCATTCAGCACGTACAATATATTTGTTATTTTATTACTATTATAGTCAAAAAAAAATATAAAATTTCTGTATGAAAATTGTCATACGCCCTGAATTTTGGAGAATAAAAAAGAGCGTTGCGCACTTTTCATAATTGGATGCACAATACAGCTAGGATATGAGCACAAACAAACAGTAAAAAAATAGTAATAATAGAAAACCAGAAACATCGTGTACTTGTAATGCACAGAGAAATGAACATAATTGCTTGTTTGTGCTTAATGTACCCTAACATTGCAGCACTTGGGCTTGTCAGTTAGTATAAAGTAAAGTTTTTTGGAATATGCACAGAGTGAAGACGTGGTGAAGCATGCAAAAAGTCTATTTAAAGTAAGATAAGTACAGTGGAAAAATTCAGCAAAATATAATATAATTTATTTAGTCAGAAAATACCTTTAAGTCTATAAAGAACAGCTCCTATTAAATCCATTGAAACCTTACTTTCCACGCAATTCAACTTCATATATAAATTCAGTTGATCAAAATTCAATCAATATATTTAATGCAAGATAAATTATCATTAATAAATATTGCACAAAAATTCATTAAATGATTTCAAGTCGATTAATATACTGCCAATAATTAGAAGTAAATATATCATTACTCATTTTATAGACATTTTAGAGCTGGAGCAGAGTCTAATAATTATCATCATATGCAATATTTGAATATTTCTCAAATTTAATTTTAGGATGGGCACATGAATGAATTTTGGTATTCATAATTGTATCCATTATTGGCTATTTGCTATTCATTATTGAAACAGAATGCTGCACAAATGAAATTAAATAAATGAAACGTGAGACGTCTGTCGATTGCCGCCAATAAATCTACACATTTAACATAAATGCTTCCGTCTTGTATTGTGCCTATCAAATATCGACGAATGTACAGTTCTTCATGGATAAGGGTCGCCTCTGTAAGAATCTTCACAATCAGATTGATATGCTAATTATTCCACTCCTGTGCCATCGACTACTGCCCCTATGTAGAAGGAACAAGGTGCACAGACTTTTGTATCGTCATTGTTTAAATTTGGATATTTATTATTATTTCCACAAGGAGAATTTTTAAATAAAAATTTTTGTACTGCTATTTTCTATAAGTAGAGTATACTCTTAGACTTCAATAATCTTAATTGTATTAGTAGATAAATATTTTATACTCTTAAAACCTTTAACACATTTCATTCCATAAGCATATTATAGAATAAATAAATATATAAATGTATTTGTCATAAAAATAGTCAATTTCGCCCACAGTAGATATCTGTGTGGGTGCAAAGGACAATTGCAGACTCTAGATTATGTCCCCTTAGAGCAGCTGAACAATAACAAAAACTTTAAGCGACATAAAGTGCATGCGGCACTGTTGCAGAGTTTGGAAGGCAAACAAGCAAGAGAAGACCAGATATGCAGCTAACACATGCACACAATATATATGTATATATATATATATATATATTTATATAGCGTGTGTATATGTTACGTGCCTATCTTGGCCTGTCTTGAGTATTTGAGCCAAAGATTAAATGGTGTTTATGGCTGCACCGGCGCAACTCCGTGCACTTTCGGCGCTGTCTCTCTAATACTTTTGACACTTCTGTTAAATTTATGAGTGCAAACATTTACTGACACTCACACTCATACACACATACACACAGCACACTCCCACACACTTAAATGCTTAGAAATATTGCAGAACAGAACGAGAACTCAACATAAATAAATAAGCAAAAAGTAATTGTAATGCAAATGCAAAGTAAAATATAGTTTACAAGCACTGCAGCCATAACTTATTTCTGATTCAGTTTCAAATTTCTGTTGGCGCATTCTATTACAGGGTTGGACCTGGCCTAAGATGGGTAGCGTGCTCTTTGCAGCTGTCTTCATAGCATTACACTTTGCCACCGGCGGCCTGGCCAACCCAGATGCTAAGCGACTGTACGACGATTTGCTGAGCAACTACAATCGACTCATACGACCCGTGGGCAATAACTCCGATCGTCTGACGGTCAAAATGGGTCTAAGGCTGTCCCAATTGATCGATGTGGTGAGTACACAAACGTTCACTATAAACTATAATATATAAAAAATTAAAAGATATTACCAGGCTTTCCCCAGAGTAAAATAATTTCATTTTCTTGTTTAAGAAAGTTGATATTTTGATAATTTAATATATCAAGCGCAGAGAAAACTTTGTTCTTCTTTGTGGAAAACATCATTTGCCTCAGATAGCCTCAAAAATTTCAATAATTTTTTGTTAACGATAATGACATCCAGTTTAGCTGTCATTTCTTTGACAACTGAGCTACTCGACTGCTTATCAAATGACAATCAAAGCAGATTAATTTGCAAAGCCAACAGCGCCGGTAAGTGGCATAAGCCGCGGCAGAGCAGCAGCCGCGTAATTAATAACTGTTTACTAAACGCTTAAAAGGCAGTCGAACTAAGCCAGCATTGTTTACCCAGTCCCAGTGCTAGTCCCACTCCCGGTCCCAGTCGTCGTCTGTTAACTCTTCCAGTTGGTAGTCAACATTGTTTGCATAATAAATCAATGGGCTTTACGATTTATTGTACATCGACTGATGATTGTATTGTTGATTAAGCTTGCAATTGCAGTTGGTGCCCTCCATGCGGCTCAATCAAGGCAGCAAAAATTGCACAATATATCAGGAGCTAGTGGCTTGGGCCAAATTGTGTTTAGGGAAAAGAAACAAATATTGAGAAAACTTCAATTGGCAGCAGAGTCAAATGCAGCTGCAGCGGGCCAAGCAAATGGCCCACAATCTTCTATCCGGCTTGAATGCACATGACAACCGGAAATGGGAAACCGGCTAACAGTTACGTGTGCTCTTGGGTACACAGTAGCCGAGCTTCATAGTTCGCTCCTGCGTTTGGCCTTTTGCTTCCAGCTGGCTTCGACTCCCTTTCTGCTGTTATAAATCACGCGCTAAGCACCAGGACCACTAAAAGGCATGCCAACCAGTCAGCAGCAGTCATACCCGCGCACATTGGGCAACGGCCTCTGTATCCATGGACAAATTATACAATTCGCTGGAGCACAGAAAAGAATATATTTAAAGCCAATTTCTGGCTGGATTCGTTTAACAAGGCTTTTTCGGTTTTCTTGTTTTTAGTTAAAGAAAATAATAGTATGATTTCTTCAATCAATTACTTGAATACATTTTTATTGTTCTGTATTTAAGCCCTGCCAATGCTATGTTTTTGCCTTTGCAATTTTAATTTCTTGTAAAAAAACTCTTAACATTGCTAAAGGAATTTCACAAAGCCACTATTTATATTAGATTCAGAGAAAAGTTCATTTTGCCAAAATTTACTGTGAGGAGGGCTCTTTGATTTATTTGCTCACACTTTATTGCTTTCATTTAAAGTAGTTGCTGCACAACCACCAATTGAGCAGAAGCTAAGTTAATTGCATTAGTACTATGTGGCCTTTAGCTCTAGCAATGGAGACCATTTTCTGTTTTTGATTCATATAACTTACAAATGGATAGAATTTCAAATTCTTCCATATAATTTACTCGTGAAATTAATCTGGTAGTTGATGCAGAACTTGATAACCGAGCACTGTGCTTCTCTCATAAGGTGCTTATAAACGAAATTGCTTTTGTGTGTATCTGTGTGTGTGTATGTGCATGTGAACACACCCATACACATTGTAATATTGCACATACGCTCTGTGTGCTCGACTGGCATCCTGCTACAAATATTCGCAGAATTTCTTTTATTGCACTAGTCCACTGGTCACTTTTTGTTGCTGTGGATAGCTCATTGTTGTTGTTGTATTTGGGGATGCACGTGTTTGCTGCTCTCCTTATTGGCACACAATTCTTTGTAAATGCTATCGAGAAAAATCACTGCTCTTTGGCTAGTTGATTTTTGCTTCCATTGGAAAGCGCAATCATTGGAAACAGAGCTTGGCACACAAATGAATATTTATACTATATACAATATAAAGAATAGATCAGAAGCAGGTGAGGCTTAAGACGAATTTTTAATTTAATTTCAGATATTTCCATTTGCCAGACTTCGACCTCTGAGTTGCTTTGGCTGCTTATTACTTGCATTACAGCTGCTTACTCAGGTGAATTATGACCAGAAATGCATTAGCATAGGAACAGTTGGGCGAGAGGAAGTATGAGACAGATATTGCCTTTACCTGGTCCTAATTGCTGGTTGCTAAGCTACCTAGACCGTAACGCAATTATCTGAAAACGACAGCTCATGAATTTGAAATATGGAAGGAAAGAGTCAAGCACAAATACAGAGCCAGGAGAAGCAGCTTAAGTGATACCTGAATTGATAGCAGATAGCTCATTTAAATAGTAATAATCATGCTTCAAGGCTTTACGTAAGCAACCATAAGAGAGTCTTTTTACATTTTTTCTTTATTGCTCATAGTAAACATTATTACGTCTAGACTTAGCATTGGAACTGCTGTATTCAACTCTTGTTCAGTTGGAGCGAGGTACATTTTTATGACGATGCTCGGCATCGTTATTGCAAAGTTTATTTACGGCAAACAGGAAATTCGATTTAAATTGTAAACAAGCCCGAGACGAGAACGAGAAAACGTGGCTGAATCCAGTGGCCAGTGGCACAGAATGCAAATTCAGTTGCATTTAGAAAGCTTTAAGCTTCGGCTTAAGCAATTTAAACACTGTATATCCGGCATCCTGTTTGGGGTAATGCAACCGGCAGCCGTAACTCTAAGTGTGAATAAGCAAGCAGCCGCAACGGCAATAACGCCAACAACAACAACAACAACACCAATTACATGGCAACAAACCCAGTTAGGCAGCTGTAGGTGTGAACCGGCATAGACATGGACATGGACATAGACATGGCCAGCAACTTGCCGGCAGACAGACGAGGAAGTTGCCTTCGTGTTGTTGGTGTTGTTGGCTGCAGCTACAACAGCGGATGCCGCACATAAAGCATAAAGGATACGCGCAACGCCTGGCACCGTCCTCATCGCCGCTGCTGCAATATTATCTCTTCCTTATGCCGCTGTCTTTGTGCCTAGTCTTGGCTTTGTCGTTTTATTGCCGGTCTTCCGCGTCGCCCCGCACCTAATGACCTCAGACTTCAGACGTTTCAGCCGTTCAGCCAACGGCTGCCAACTGGCAGCTGGCAACTGGAAACTGGGAACTGTTAGCTGGCAACCCACAAAAGCATACCGAGTGGGTGATTAGCAGTAGGTCGTCTTAGCAGCACCACCAGCAGCGGCACCACCTCCACCTCCAACACACACTCGCCTGCGTGTGGAAGCCGCTAGCAAAATCTATTAACACTGCGCATCTTAACATATTGCTCTGGCTCTAGCAGGTCCGGGCGCTCTTCATAGCTCTAGCTCCGACATTATCTGAGTGTCTCGACGGAAAACGCTTTACGGCGCATCATTATCATTTTGTCGTTAATTACATTTTTCAACGCTTAAGTGATTTATTCCGCAATTTTATCGTTTTCTAATTTTTTCTATTGAGTCCTGTGCCGCTCGCTAGCTACCAAAGCGTATTTGCGCCTAATGAGTTGCTTTGCCGCTTCCCACCTAAATAAATATGAAAGGGAAGCAGCAACAGCAGCAGCCATAAATATAATGAGCGCAACTGCCAAGGAGCCCTGTAAGTGTAGACATTTACTTACGAGGGCCCACACTCCACAGCCCAAACAGAAGGCAACTGTGCGGTTGTCATACGTGCATCTGTTAAGACTCAAATTAGAGCACTCTCCTCGCATGCTCTTGATACGGCTGAATTATTTGCAGCGAATGCTAAAAAAGGCAACAGCATGAATTACTTGTTTCCTTAATTTAGATTTAATGTTGACTCTGACTCTGCGCAAAATAGAAAAGTTTATGTTGTATGACAAATGCTTCTTCTGGGCAAAATAACTGAACTTGAATTAATTCCAAGCTAATTTTAGCATTTTCTCTCTTAGACGAGTTAAGATATATTGAAAGCCATTAGAGAAAATTTTAATTTAAATTTATTTGTTCGAAATCCATTTTAATCGCTGCTCAAAAGCAGCGACGTTTTTTTTTTTAGTCAAACCTCTATCTAGAATGCCTTTAAAAAATATGCTATCAAAAGACAACTTACGATAAAATATTAAAAATTCAATTATAAAAGTATATAAAATAATGCAAATTAGTTAGAAACATATTCTCATTTATACCTCCAATTAGGATAATAAACACTTTTGTATCCAGTATGAGTTACCAGAGCTGTGTCACAGCGTTTGCTTTGCTCTGCTGAAGCCGTTCTCCGTTCATCATTTCATAGATGATACTCAAGTGAAAAGCCCACATATTACACATACATATATGCTAAATAACTTAATTAACATCTGGTTGTCGGCTAGAGCCAAACTTTTAACACAATAAACATAATTAAAGTACATTGATAATCAGCTCAAATAGACCCCAGCTAGACTTTCAACCCCAAAGACTTGTGTGCATGTACTATGTACACCATATAGCATGTATATCTTGTCTTTCTAGTTCATCTATTAGTCGAAATGGCGTAGCGAGCTTTTATAGTTAAGCCAAGTTTTAATCCAGTTCGCAGCTAACCACTGTGGTACTTAAACTTTATGCTTGTTTAGCTGCTCTTAACTTTAATTGCATCAGCCACCCCATCAACTTCAACTGCTATTATTTTCGCTCTAATCTCGTCTCTCTTTCGTGGACTGCGTCACTAGTTTGCGAGACATAAATTGATTAAAACTCAATGATGCTTTAAGAATACGGTCGCCAGCAACGACTGTGACTGTTTCTTATTGCTGCAACTCACTTCAAACTAACCAGCTGCAGCACCATTCAACCCAGGACAACCACCAGTGGGCAACCACTTGACAACCACTGACAGCCCCAAGGCACCCCCAAACAAACAAGCCAACACCCCCACCATCACTTCACATCACTCCACTTCACTCCACTCCACTTCACTCCTTTCCAGTCTACTCAGCTTGGCAAATTTCAAAAGCATTTGTTAACCGACACCAGAAGCAGTTGAGTTTCTTCAGTTCACTAAAAAAACATTCGCTCGTCGCAACGATTTTCAATTTGATGGTCCCCACTCAATGCTCAAGCTCTCACAAATGTTAAGTCCCTGCAGCAGCCTCCAATCCCATATCCCGCTGACAGCACAGAAAATCATTTGAGCTGTTGTTTATACACTTGTTGTGAAGGCTGCGTTCGTGGAGTTGAACTAAAAGCTTGATATCAGGCTTAAAAGTCGAATGCGATGCCTAAATATATATGGTAATGCGCTCACTGAACAACTGGCTAACTGATTACCAAGAGATCCAATACTGAGGTATTTTAGAAAGAATTTTACTCACGTAAGAAACAATCTAATGCCGAATGATATTTCTCTGACGATTTTCGTAAAAATTCTTACATTTTTAGTTACTTCATAATATATTGAATATATTTTATGATCAAAGAAGATAGCGCCTTTGACATTGCTTCTGTCAAAGTAAATTAAAAGTGCTAAGCAGATGCTAAATATGTTGACAATTGATATTTAATAAGACAACAAAAAATAGTTACAATAATATAATATAAAGAGTATATAAAAGTCGTACACGCCGATTTGATCAAACTTGCATTTAAATTTGGAACACAAATTGAATTGACTTCTTGCTTAAATTTGAATTTAACAAATTTCTTTCCATTTATTTTTATTTGCAGAATTTGAAAAATCAAATAATGACTACCAACGTGTGGGTGGAGCAGGTAAGTCCAACTATTCGTTTTTTTATTATTATTTATATAGCGTCTCATTTTTTGGGTTATTTTATGCTATTTCCTGGGGCACTGCGAAATTTGAGATTTGGCAGCTGGCAGCAAAGTTCCCAAAGTATCCGAGTAACATGAATTCACCATTTGCACGCTTCGGTGCAACCAAATGCAAAATAATTTTGCTAGCCAATCCTCGCGTTCGCATAATGCCAATTTGTGACCAGCACTTGGCTTTGGAATTGAAATCGTTCGCTTGCACTTGGCCAAGTGGCCACGATGGCCACTTTGCAGCGACTACTCGTATATGTGCATTGGCTTTGCACTAATGCGATAGCCAGTTGGATCTACAACAACTAGAAATTCCCCAAAAAAAAACAAAAAACTATATATATGTATATATATATATATATAAGTTAACTTATAACACTTAGTTAGCTTATAACACTTAATGTTAGGTATTATTCAACACTTATTATCGGGTGCTAGACAAGTTAAGGAACAGCCCTGGCAAGGGCAACTCTACTTACGCCGGTGAGGCTATGATTTGTAAAAATATAGATCAGTCTCGTGTTTTAACTCGTACTGATAGGACATGCTAAAAATTGGTGTCATATAAGTAAAACTAAAAATAGTGAATATAATAAGAAAAACCAATAAAATTAACTGTTTCGATTATTCAAAAAAGAACAATTAAAAGCAGGGTTAAAAAGCGTTCTTCCAGTAAACCGCTTAAATAAATATTCACTCCGTCATTTGCTCGTTAAATGGCTTATTTCATTGTCTGAGCCCGAGGCCAGCAATAAGAGGCACAGTCGCCTCTCAACCTAACTTTCAGTCACCACAGGACTGGAAAACATATAATTGGCGCCCAACGTGGGGCGGACTCCACAACCAACAACAATTAAGACAGCAGCGCGGGAGCTGCAATTGACAGATCTTATAAAGGGATTTTTTTTTTGTTTTGTGTTAGTTGAATCTTGTAAGTGGATACTCTAGCCAAAATTTTTCTTCAAACACAAAAAGTGTTAAAATTTATTTTATAAAAAAATAGCTAGGACTAGCGAGTATTTTATATTGCAATTGCATGTAAAAAAAAAAAAAAAATTAATGATCAGAACCAAGTGAGAGTGACTACTTTGGGAATTTTAGTGGCAGCAATTGATCATTCAGATCGTCAATAAAATTACATTGTGTTACTTTCTGTGTGTCTGAAGTTGTGCATGCAGTTCTCGTAGTTCAGAACTGCGACGTAATTCGACCCATCTTCTGACGGCCCGTTTTATTTTTCGCGACCACTGACCTGCGCATGTCTCGGTTCAACCAATATAGAAACCCTCGCAGGCAGTCTAGCGACTCAGATTCCGACTGTGTAATTCCCCCACCATCAGGTAGAATGGATGCAGATCAGCTTACGGAAATAATAAGGACGGCTACTAGCAAAGCTTTAGCCGAACAGGCCGCTGTAAACCAGCAGAGGGAACATGTATTAACTCAACGAATTAATGAGTTAGCTGAACAAATAGCGGTAGCAAACGTTGCCGCCCCACAAGTAGTAGCGTATGCTGCTATAGGAATTAGGAACGATATTCACTGTGACGAGCCACTAGATGCCGTCAAATGCTTACCTGAGTTTGCAGGGGTACAGGAATCGTATGTATCTTGGAGGCAGGCAGCATTAGCCACTTACGAGATCTTCAGACCGTATAATGGCAGTTCTCGTCATTATCAGGCCGTCATCATCATAAGAAGCAAGATTAGGGGCCCCGCAGACGCGGTGCTAGCCTCATTTGGTACTGTGCTGAATTTTGATGCGATAATAAATCGCCTAGATTTCACATACAGTGATAAGAGACCAATTCATGTCATTGAACAAGAATTAAGTACCTTGAGGCAAGGTGGCCTGTCCCTGCTTCAATATTATGATGAAGTAGAGAAGAAACTCGCTCTTCTCACAAACAAAGTTAATATGTCATATGAGCCGGCTTTAGCAAAGGGCCTATGTGAAAAATTCCGCGACGATGCGTTGCGTGTGTTCATATCGGGTCTCAAGCGCAGTCTAACAGATGTGCTCTTTGCAGCAAAGCCCAGAGATCTGCCTTCAGCGCTAGCTCTCGCGCAAGAGGTCGAGTCGAATCACGAAAGGTACTCATTCGCGGCTAATTTTGCAAAAAGTCTTGAAGACAAAGAGCGCAAGCCGCATGCAAAAGCGCAGGGTCACCAATATGAGAGGTATTCGCATCAAGCCGAAAGACAAGCTAGCGGTACAAAGAATCCGCACTTTAGCAAGCAAAACAGGGCCCCATTTCGGACTGACCCACGAAGCACCAGGCAGCACAACAATAATGGCGCACCAGTGCCCATGGAGGTCGATCCTTCCTTTTCAAGGGTAATGCAGCCCACTCAGGCCCTTGCTTACGCGAACAGGAAGCACCCCGCATCTGACCGCACAGGCGGTCTGAGAAAGCAGCAAAGGTTGAATCACGTCACGCAAGGCGCGGGACAGGGGGCAGAGGTGTGTGCTGATGCTGCCTCCAGCGCAGCGGCACAAATCAATGACGTTATTAGTTATAACTCTGATGCCCTTAATTTTTTAGGAGTAAATCCCTTCTACCCGTCATCAGACGAAGAGTAGGAGGGACTCACATGCAATTCCTCATAGACACGGGCGCGGCCAAGAATTTCATTCGGCCACATAAAGGGTTGAAAGGCGTCCGCTCGGTAGAGTCCCCCTTCAAAATTCACTCCATTCACGGCGAGACACAAATTACACACAAATGCTTTGTTTCAATGTTTGGGTTAAAAGCAACTTTTTTTATTCTGCCGGACTTATCAACCTTTGATGGGATTATAGGCCTTGACCTGCTAAAGCAGGCATCTGCTTCGCTTTGTTTAGCTTCAGGACAACTTAAGTGGGGCACGGAGGTCGAACCAATCACCTTCCACAAATGCAAAAATGTAAATTTCACAAATGTAGACTGTGCAGACGCATCCCCATTAGTTAGAAGTTCTTTTTTGAAAATGCTGAAGACCAGACAAAAGGCCTTTGCAGACCCAGACGAGGCGTTGCCGTATAACACATCAGTCGTGGCTACCATTAGGACTACAGACGAGCAACCGATCTATGCCAAGCTTTACCCATATCCAATGGGAGCGGCTGATTTCGTTAATAAAGAAATCAAAGATCTACTAAAGAATGATATAATTCAAAAGTCCGTCTCTCCCTACAATAACCCAATATGGGTAGTAGACAAGAAGGGCACTGATGAAGCGGGCAATAGGAAAATGAGGTTGGTAATGGACTTTCGTAAACTTAACGAAAAAACCGTGCCGGACAAATACCCTATGCCAAATATATCAATGATATTGGGGAATTTGGGGAGAGCCAAATTCTTTTCAACATTAGACCTCAAGTCTGGTTATCACCAGATCATACTCGCTGAACGCGACCGTGAAAAAACCTCTTTCTCTGTGAACGGGGGGAAATACGAGTTCAAAAGACTCCCCTTTGGATTAAAGAATGCAGCAAGCATTTTTCAAAGAACCATCGACGACATACTGCGAGAGCAGATTGGCAAATTTTGCTATGTTTATGTCGATGACGTAATCATCTTTTCAGAAGATGAGGAATCCCACATTAAACACGTGGATTGGGTCCTAAAAAGCTTACACGAAGCAAACATGAGGGTCTCCGTCGAAAAGTCACGTTTTTTTAAGAAAAGCGTGAACTTTCTTGGTTTCGTAGTCACCAGCACTGGCACCACGACGGATCCTGAAAAGGTTAGGGCAATACAGGAGTATCCAGAACCAAAAACGCTGTTCGAGGTTAGATCATTTCTAGGCCTCGCAAGTTATTACAGATGTTTCATTAGGGACTTCGCCGCAATAGCAAGACCCATCTCGAATATCCTGAAGGGTGAAAATGGAACAGTCAGTAAGCATAGGTCCAGAAATATAAAGGTTCAATTCTCTGAAGTGCAGCAGAGGGCATTTCAGAAGTTGCGCGATATTTTGTCATCCGAGAATGTAATGCTCAGGTACCCCGATTTTAAGAAGCCATTCGATCTAACGACCGATGCTTCGGCTCACGGCATAGGTGCAGTTTTGTCTCAAGAGGGTCGTCCTATAACAATGATTTCAAGAACATTGAAGGACAGTGAGGTTAACTATGCAACCAATGAGAGAGAGTTATTGGCCATTGTATGGTCACTTGCCAAATTAAGGCACTATTTGTATGGGGTGAAAGACATTAATATCTTCACTGACCATCAACCCTTGACCTTCGCAGTTTCGGAATCTAATCCAAATGCGAAAATCAAAAGGTGGAAAGCGCGCATTGACGAGTCTAATGCACGTATCTTCTATAAACCTGGCAAGGACAATCTGGTTGCGGATGCCTTGTCAAGACAGCAGCTCAACGCTATAAATGAGCAAGAAATTGAGTCCTGCGCAGCAACGATCCACAGTGAGGTATCTCTCACCAACACCATTGAGACGACAGACAAACCCTTGAACTGTTTTCAAAACCAGATAGTGCTAGAAGAGGCGCGTTTCCCCTTAAAACGAAGTTTTATTCTTTTTGGAAATAAGAAACGCTACTTGATCAGCTATACATGCGTCGAATCGCTGCTAGACGAGCTCGAAGATGTAGTCTCACCCAAATGCGTAAATGCTCTCCACTGTAATTTACACACGCTTGCAATGATACAAGATACATTGGTGCGAAGATACCCAGCCACAAAGTTCTGGCATTGCAAAAATCGCGTAGTGGACATATTTGCGGTTGGAGAAGGAAGGGAAATCCTCACAGTCGAGCATAATAGGGCCCATAGGTCTGCACAGGAAAATGTTAAGCAGGTACTCTCCGAGTACTACTTTCCACGGATGGCAAAAATTGCCAAGGAAATAGTACAAAACTGCAAAACATGTGCTAGGGCTAAGTATGATAGACACCCCAAAAAACAAGAGCTTGGAGAGACACCGATCCCCTCACATGTAGGAGAGATGTTACACATGGACATTTTCTCCACTGACAAGAAATACTTTCTCACTTGCATCGACAAGTTCTCTAAGTTTGCTATCGTCCAACCGATCGCTTCAAGAACCATTGTGGATCTGAAGCCAGCCGTAATGCAACTTATGAATTTTTTTCCAAAAGCCAGATCCATTTACTGTGACAATGAACCGTCATTGAATTCAGAGACCATCATGACTATGCTCACAAACAACTATGGGGTCAGCATTTCAAATGCACCACCATTGCATAGCATATCGAATGGACAGGTTGAGCGCTTTCACAGCACTCTGTTAGAGCTAGCCAGATGCATAAAGATCGACAAAGGCATAAATGACACCGTAGAAGTCATTTTACTGGCCACAACCGAATACAATAAGTCGATTCATTCGGTCATCGACCAGAGACCAGTTGATGTGGTTCAGGCGCACTCTGATGAGCCACAAGAGAAGATAGAAGAAAAGATCAGAAACGCTCAGACGACGCTCAGAGCTAGGGAGAACGCAAAGCGGCAGAATAGAGTCTTCGATGTTGGTGACAAGGTTTTGGTCAAGTCCAACCGACGGCTCGGAAACAAACTCACACCTTTATGTGTCGAGAAGGCCGTGGAAGCAGACCTGGGGACCGAGGTCCTCATTAAAGGAAGGGTGGTCCACAAGGACAACCTAAGATAACTCCCTTGTTTTTTTTATTACACCTTTTATTATAAGCCGCTAGGCAATTTAGAATAAGTTAGATATAGTTTTTCAATTTACCTTTAGCCACTTGGCATAATTTTTATAAAACATTTTGGTGGCGGGTACACCCGATGCCGGTCATTTAGAGTAGATTAGGTCCACTGAAATGCGACTAATGAATGCCAACAGTAGACGGATAGAAGTAAACACTGAGGTTCAAGACCAGCTTAACCAGTTAACATTTGCTGTCAATGGAGTTCTCGGGATAGCCAAAACTCACAAATTGATTTATTTATTTGAAACACTGAAACACTGTCCAGAAACAGAATGCGGACGATCGAGTTGCAAAGTTTAATGCTTGCTATTACTCTCGCGAAGGCTCATTGTTAGCCCAAACATTTTGGACTCCTCAGATTTAAAATCAATTTGGCTAGAGGAATCCATCAACACTATACATTTTATAACCAAATTCCCAAAAATTAAAAAAGCCTGCAGAAAAATTACGATTTATCCTGTCGTCCACAAGAACCAGCAACAGCTCTATTCGCCCCATAGTTGGATGCTAAGCCAGAACCACAGCATGCAAATCTACAAGCGGAATCGTTGAGGAAACCCCCTTGTTCACGGCACCACCACCAACAGTAGAAGCTCATCAGCCAGCAACAACTAACGAACTCTTCGCGGCGGCAGAGCCAAGCGACTCTTCATCCATACTAGAACCAAGTTGCTCCAACCGCTGCCCATCTCTGTCGACACCTGCCACGGCTGCCGGCTCATCCTCATCCTCATCGGCAGCGGCGTCACGTCAACTGCAGCTGCCGGCATTGTCGGCAGTTGCCGCACGGCAACAGCAGCTACTGCTGAACGGCTCTCTGAAGAGCAAGACGAAGACATTTCCTGCGTATCGAGCATCGGTGCGCAGCGAGAGCGACGACAAGGAGTACAGGGCGGCTAGCAGCAGCAGCAACACGATACCGACGACGGGCAAAAGTCGGCCAAGATCAGCGGCAAGAACTGTAACAATCTGCTGCACAACGCCGGCAATAAGCTAAGCGTGAGCAGCAACTCCTTCGGCCTATACGCAGCATCTGGCATCATCGCCCAAGAGCCCTGTCTCCAGCAACGGCCATCTGAACAAATACTGCCTGACGGACTTGACGCGCCGCAAGGCCGAATTCAATCGCCAGCTGAGCGCGCCGACAGACTACACACATCACTCGTCCAGTAACGGCTCATAGCATCGCTGGAGTGGTGGGACACAGTCATCACGGCCATCACGGGCACGTGCACGGCCAGTCATCGACGGCGCCAGCCACACTCAAGTCGCTGCAGCTGCACAACTTTGGTGTGCATCATCCGATGCCAAGGCCCACGTCCACGTTGTGCACCAACAGCTTCAACAGACGCCACATACGTAGGCGCAAGAGCAAGCTTAGTAAGCGCCTGCTGAACGGCGATAGCGAAGAATCAGTACGCTGCTCATACTGCTCCGTATTGAATGTGAATGAGAACGACTTGCGGATTTCATTCGAGAACACCTGCACCGACTCGCTGGTCACCGCTGCTAATATGCGACCAAGGAACCGAAATGGTGCACTTTGATGATGTGTCGTTGTACGGCACTCCGAAAGAGGAGCCATATGCTGTGCTTTAATCTGCATTGGCCTCACTCTTTGGTGGATCATCGACGCAAAGAAGTCCGCGAAGCACTTGCGAGGAGTCGTCGCTGGAATTGGGTCGGTCGAGGACGACCTTACACTTGAGGGGGGGGGTAGTTAACTTATAACACTTAGTTAGCTTATAACACTTAATGTTAGGTATTATTCAACACTTATTATCGGGTGCTAGACAAGTTAAGGAACAGCCCTGGCAAGGGCAACTCTACTTACGCCGGTGAGGCTATGATTTGTAAAAATATAGATCAGTCTCGTGTTTTAACTCGTACTGATAGGACATGCTAAAAATTGGTGTCATATAAGTAAAACTAAAAATAGTGAATATAATAAGAAAAACCAATAAAATTAACTGTTTCGATTATTCAAAAAAGAACAATTAAAAGCAGGGTTAAAAAGCGTTCTTCCAGTAAACCGCTTAAATAAATATTCACTCCGTCATTTGCTCGTTAAATGGCTTATTTCATTGTCTGAGCCCGAGGCCAGCAATAAGAGGCACAGTCGCCTCTCAACCTAACTTTCAGTCACCACAGGACTGGAAAACATATAATTTATATCTATTGTCTGGTTGGCGAGTTTTTGTGGAACTGCTTTTAAGCACTTGAATGGAGGAGCTTTAAAGTTTTGCATAAAATATGCACACAAAGCCCCTGCACAAATTGCAGTCAATAGCTCTCAAAAGCTTATGCCAAGTTTCTGGTTACCCAAATTGACAAAACAAAAGCAAACCCCAAAATTAGATATAAATTATGCATCGCATCTGTTTTCCTCTATTCATTTGTATGGGTGTGTGGGTGTGTTTGTATGCGTTTGATTCAATTCCAAAACTTTGCATGAGCATTTCAGCAATTATCATTTTTGGCTCGTTATAAATGTAATTCGCGTGTGTTCCGGCAAGAGATTTCAATGAAAATTCGCCAACTAATAAATTAATATTTAGAAATTTATGCATTTCATTAATAATTCCTAAAGCTAGTCATTTAGTATAAAAATTATTTAGTTATTGTACGATATGTATGATATAATGTAGGACAGACCTGAATGCCTATCTGCCTATGCATATGAACACAGATGCAAGCTACTAAAGCTGGAGAGAACAAAGCAATAACGTATATATAGGAAATTGCAGTATTTATATGATTCCTTGAAGTTAGTTAATCAAAGCTTATATTTTAAGTATTCAGAATGTGAGTAGAGTAAGTTGGGAACGGGCAAATAATTATAAAACTTTTATTATTTGTTATTTATTGTTGCTGTTGACATTACTGCAGTTTGTGTTCGGTTTCAGTCATGCTGCACGTCCATAAATATGCAAATGCATTATGTCAATAACGCCCCATCCATGGGCACCCGCATACACATAATGACGTTTAAGTGTGTCCCTCTGCACAGGGACTGGTAAGAAGCTAAATGCGTGTGCAATTAAGTCTGCCATTTATTTAATAGACAAACAAAATCACTTTGCATACTTAATAGTGTGGATGCAGCGGAATTAAAGAATAATATTTTGCTTATTCCCACATAAATACATGTAAATGTCAATTAGTCTGTGACCAAAGGATCATTTGTCAGCTAGTTTAATGGAACACAAATCACTCAAAATAAATTCTCATAAACTTAAAAAAGAATACATTCTTACATCATTTATGATGATTAACGTCTGAAAGAGCATTTATTTTAATATTTTTTGTTTTAATTATGGAACATTTTGTGCTTGGCGCAACGATAATCCCATTGTGAATTGCAAACAGCACCCACGATGCATGCCGCATGCCGCAACAGTGGTGGATGGCAGTCAACATAATTACAGTTTTATGATGCACGCTCTTTGCTATGCCCGGCTTCGAGTTACCATACAATACATTTTATTGGAATCGCCCTGTAAGGAGTGAACTGGATATACCCGACAGTTGGGACTGACAACTGCGTATAGAGCATACTTGTATGGTGAAAATTTAATTTAACGCTAACAGCTTAGCGACCAATAAATTAATGCATAATTAATGAAACGCAATTGCAACATTAAATGCAACAACAGAAACAATAAAGGCGAACAGCCAGCTATTGTGTACCACAAATTCAATTCAATATTCATCTGTATGCAAATTATGTAGCCGAGTGCTTTGGTCTAATTTATTTTAATATATTTATATGTTTTGTATCAGAAATATTATCATGGCTGGGCAATTTTTGATAGTAATTTCTATGTGTTGCAGGAGTGGAACGACTACAAACTGAAATGGAATCCCGACGATTACGGCGGCGTGGATACCCTGCATGTGCCCTCCGAGCACATATGGCTGCCGGATATTGTACTATATAACAAGTAAGTGCCATCTAATTCCCTTGCCTTGTCCCTTGTCCGCCTGGTTATGGCTACGGTTAGGCGCTGGCTGGCATTTGGGGGCTTTGCCATGGAAGTTTTGGCGCCTGGCACCATTTGCATAATTGCCCAATGGGCGCGACGGGCGCATAAATCAAAGCGCACAGTTACGCTTGCAATTTATCAGGCAATGATTAACGTATTTTTATTTCAATGTAATATGAGAACTGGCCAACGACTCAGCTCTGCAGCTAACTGAGCAAAAGGGAACGAATCGGCCTCTCTTTATGCTCAGCATAAAATTGCTGCCAACTCGTCTGCTTTCTCAAATTGGACGTTTTATTTTGCTATGCTCGCTGTAATTATTATAATTTGCCTTGTGTCGTATTTCACTTGGAGTGAAGCCAGCCCCACTAAACGGCACAGTGGCATACGCATCGTAAATTGAACACAAAACAACCTATCGCTTGCTGCTTAAACTGATTTAAGGATCAAATATTGTTAAAGTTATATTTTCGATTCGTTTTACCAAGTACATAAAATTGTGCTGATCAGCTATAGGCTTAGGCTTAAAATAAATATAAATTGGAGTACGCCCATCTAGCTTTTGGCATAGTCAAATTACAAAACTAACATTCACAAAACTAATAATCACAGATTACTGTGTGACTGACTCTAAAATAATGAGAAAATTCTATAATTATTAACAATTAATTAACCTCTTCCAATGCTGGGTTTCGTTTACAAAACACGAGCAATGCCAAGAAATTTTAATCACTCATCGTAATGTTTTTAAAAATTTCCACGCATTATTTACTTGAAATGGATTGTAGGGATTTATTTGTAAATGGCATATTCTTACCACTGTGCCGCTGGCTTTGCTGGCCAACACTTGACTCCGTCGATGCGGCTGGCACTTCAGTTCCTACAACACCAGGGAGGACATCGCTCTTTTGGCAGATCGGCTTACGCGCTTTATGTGCCGTATTGGCCTTCTTTCCATTTTTTTTTTGTTTTTGCTGTTGTTGTTGGGACGCCTTTGGTGCCCTGGCTATACGAACTATTCGCATAGCACACTTTTTGGGGTGTGTGCGCTTTGGCAGAGTCATAAAAACTCGTAATTTATTGCTTGGAAAAAGCTTAAATTTCATTTGCCAACAACTACAAAAGCATTGTCATGTTGTTGTGCGTAACTATAGCAACTCTCTGGTACTTACACCGATACAAACACACACAGAGACACTCTCAAACACATTGCTTGCTGTTTGGCGGCCATTGTCGCTCGCTGCTACCGTGAATGATGTTTAAAGTGAAAAAAAATAATTTGTACTGACAATAATAAAGCAATGCTTTGGTTAGAAAATCTTTTCCCTTTAGTGCCACTTCGGCATGAAGCGCCTTTCTGCTTTGACACAGACATTTCAAATTTGGCTCCAAGTGGCCTTTGCCCACTTCTCGCAGTTAATTGTGTTTGCTAAAAATAAATAGCATCTATGAAGCTAATTTAAAGTTGTTCCCATAATATTTAATATTCTTCTTTTCGAATTTGAATTTTTAGCTATTTAAATTGATATAATTTTTAAGTTTTAAGTTAGAAAATATAAATGTTAGCATACAAATTAGATCAAAAACAAAGATTTTACCGATTTTCCATGCACCAAGACAATTTTGGTCAGCTATACAAATTTTAATTTTAACATTAAACATAAAGTCCCGAATTTACTGAAAGTAAGCTGCATGTGTGTGTGCAGCTTATGCGTATATGTAGTGGAAGCATTGTTGTAATCTTGAATGAAAATACACACATTCTGCCAGCTGTCGGTTGCAAAAGTTTGAAACGCTGAAAATGCGTTCAATTTCACAATTGCAGCATAGCTGGCAATATTTTACATACAAACTTTTGGCATGCCAAGACAAACGAATAGCGATATGGAAAACACATACCTGCCTGCACACACACGCACTCACACTCACTCACGTATGTAGCGAATGATAGCGCATCCTCCGAAATGCACGCCCAAAATTTGCATGCTGTGAAAAATGTTTAATTGCCCGCTAAATGTGAAATAGCGAATAAATAGTTGAGCGAGTGCGTAACCATACAACTACAACATGGCCCAGGCACAAATACCTGCCACGCACGCACACAGCGACGCCCATACGCGGGCCTATTCAATATTGTTGGCCATGGTATGAAACCAGCGTCAAAAGTTCTAATTTATTGGACGTGGCCGGCGCTATTTGGTTCTAATTGTTTGAGGTTCGCCTGCGCAGCGTTCCACGCGTTTGTCAATTTTAAATTGTAATTTCGCTCAAATTTTGCAAATGCTCAGCAATGCAGCGTCCGAAATATACAGATAGAGGCGAGTCCACGAACATGTGCCTTGGCTGAGCTGCTGACCAGGCATAATTAGTCGTATGTGCTAGAGCGGGCACATTAAATACGCATCGCAACCGAGAAACCGTCAACAGCGTGTGAGCGTGTGTGTATGTGTGTGTGTGGTGCGTGTGGTTGGTGTATGTGTGGGTGGACCATTAGGCAAAGCAAGCAGCAAAACTTTCAGGCACCAATTGCGAAGTCTACCCAATGGCGACGACAGCAGCGGCGACCGCAACTCTGTTTATATTTGTGAGAGCCTCTTAATTCCAGCAATTAATTTTCATGTTGATCCAAGAAATTAAAATCGCACTCGAACTGCGACTCATAGCGAGAAGCTGCGTCCCTCTCTCTTTGCCTCTTTTTCTGTTCCCATCTTTCTTTCATTTTTGCTTTTTGTTCTTAGTTGGAGTCTACAGTTGATTGCAATTGTGGCTGTGGCTCCACTTAATGGTTTCTTGGACCCATTTGATAATACATATTTGAAAGCTTCTCGTAGCATAAAAAGTACAAGCTTAACTGTGAGTCTACCTTTTCACATTTTCTTTTGATTATGATTGGGATATTTTACGTCTACTCGAATAGAAAGTCTGAAAGTAGAACTATTTAAAGCTCATCTGACTTTCTGTTTTCATAAATATTTGCTTTGAATATTGTGCATTAAGCTAATCTAAGTTTTATATTCCAAACTAATGGCAGGAACGTTATAAGCTAATAAATTAACCTCAGTTGGTTTTGGCATCATCTGCTTCCTTATGACTACATCTACTAGGCTATTAGTTTTAGTAGCTTCTAAGCAATATCATAATTTGGAAGCGCACTGGTGTCTGTGTGGGCTAGTGTATACGTGCGCTTGGGGTCGTTATAGCCAAGTATAAAAATTGCGCAATAGTAAGAAAATGGTTTTTGCTGGATCAACTCAAATTGTGGAACTAATTAAAAATACATTTTGGCTTCTAATTACAAATTTATTTTAAATGCGAAAATTGCTTCGAATGTTGTTTTAGCAGTACACGCCCATGGCCATTGGATCACCCACCGCCCCCTCCCCCATCCGCCACTATCAACGCCGGCGTTATCCATTAGCCTTGAGGGCTTCAGGCAGAAGTCGAGGCGAGGCATAGAGACTAAGTCATTGCCTTAGCCACTGGCAGACATACTTGCACACTAAATACAAATCCAAAAGCACAGCATTTTAAAATGTTATTACAACAACAGGAACCGTAGTAGCAGCAGCAGCAGCAGAAACAGCGAGCAAGCCATTAATGGATAAAAACCATTTAAAATGGCCGATGGCGCTGCAAAAAGCACAGCGCAGAGACTGAGAAGAAAAGAGAAATGTGAAAAAAACGAGAACCAGAACAAAAGTTTATAACCAAACCGAAAAACCGAAACCACGCCTGGGGGTCACCACAATTGCAGCCATTATCAGCACGGTGCGTCGGTGGTGCGCGGTGACACACTCTCTCACTCGCACATACATGCGGGACAACGCGGCGTATGAGTGTCAGCTTCATGGCGGTCGTCCGTATCCCCTTGCCGGCAACCGTCGCTATCAGCGCGTTAATCTGAGAGCCACACTGTGCGCCATCTTTGTATCTGCTTGGGCACAGTTGAATCTGAAGCCGAGCCAGAGTCCTCCAAACTAAATGGAAAGAGACGAAGGCAATCCGCAGGCGTTCAAAAGTTTTCTCTTTGACTTTGTATCTAGCGTTTTGTGGGCGCCAGTTCCATTTTTATAAATCTAATGAAAGATAATGAAATTTTATTTCGCTTCTTTTGATTTCTGCGCAGTTGATGCTGAAAACTAAAACAGTTGAAAAAGAACCATAGATTTGTGTGTGCGTGTGTGTGCCTTCCATGCATTTATGGAGGAGTGGACCACCTCCGTAATACACAATAATAGAATTAAAGTGGCTGTGGCAGTTGGGAAGGCTGTGGTGGGCGTGGGCGTGGCTGGGCGTCGGCTGTGTGCCTTGGGTTCAGAAAAGTTCAGCTGATAATAAAGTTGTCAACAGCATTCATTTAATTAAAGAAAACAAAGCCAAAGCTACAGCACTTTGGGAATAGGAATACTCCAACGTATGTACCACGATGACAGCCGAGCAGTGGGAAAGCGAAACAGAGAAAGTTAGCAAGATTAAGAGGAGAAGAGGGTATCCATAAGTGTATCTGTGTGTGTGTGTGTGTGTCTGAGGGGCGACCAAACTGAACCTGTGTCTACCGCAAAATAATACCAGAGCTGAGATTTATGGCGTTTAGTTAATATGGCCGCCGGAAATGGTATTGTGGTTTGGTCTGACTGTCTAAACAGTGTATCTATATCTGTCTCCGTCTCTCTGTCTACGTCTGTCTTGTGTGTGTATGAGTGGGTGTCGTTGGTGGTTTTTAAGCTTCTTGTCGGAGCGTTTTAATTTGAAAAAGGTATGCTGTGAGACAGGCAGAAAATCCGTGTTAATAGAGACTTTTGCGGCGCACCTGTCTTAAGTGGTGCCTAAATACTTTGAGCAAATCGATGCTGGAATGCCATATGCAGAGCAGGCAAATAAGCAAGTATAAGTTAACTTATAAGGCTATGTCGGCAATATATAAATATAACTAGCATGAGGAGTAAAAAGCAGCTTAAAAATAATAAAGAAAATCAGCGAAAATGAGATGAAAGCGAGAAGCAACTTCATAGATTGCAAACTCTATTTATTAATTAAATATTGCTAATTAAACTCTTAATTGATTAATGAAGAAATGCGTAATGAGAAGCAATGTTTCCTCTCCCACTTTGATTAATTTTTCAGAGCATTATATAGCCATTTCCATAGACTAATTGGCAGAAAGAGGTTCGACCTGCAAGAGGAAATACTTAACAGTTTTTCACTTAATAGACATTGAAAGTTTATTGATTATTTAATAACTAGGAGAGCTACATAATATATTAGCAAATTTTTGTATTCACTTATTGAACTGAAATGTATTTTTTATCCTTGCAGCGCCGATGGCAACTATGAAGTGACAATAATGACAAAAGCAATTCTTCATCATACGGGCAAAGTGGTTTGGAAGCCGCCCGCCATTTATAAATCCTTTTGTGAAATTGATGTCGAATACTTTCCGTTCGACGAGCAGACATGTTTCATGAAGTTCGGCTCGTGGACATACGATGGTTACATGGTAAGTGAGAGTACTTAAATGCTTATATATGAATGTTTATCACTTGGCTCGGGCTCCAGAGAGCGGGCTGTCAATCACTGGCACTGCCACAGCTCACATCTAAGCCATCCATCAATACAGTGGAGAGTTCGGTGCGTTTTGGCTTCGCTGTCGCTTCTGATTGACTGACGGCTAATCAAATGTTAATCAAATGTTTAACTCGATTATAAAAGCATTAAATCGCGAAATTCAATGTCAGACAAATGGGCGTGGCACTCACACGCGAAGAGAGTGCGAGTATTGGAAAGAATAAAATGTAAAATACAACAACGGCAAATGACTTTTTAAACATGTTACACCGAGCACTGACTACGACGACCTTGAAATGAATGGCAAAACAAAAGGACCCACTCCCTGGCAATTGATTGTTCGTTGTGCAGTTTTATTGTTGTTCGGTGTAAGCAGCCAGTAATAAAGGTTCCTCGAAGGGGCGTGGCTCACTTGGGGCTGCCCTCGTGAATGGCTGTTATATATTTATTTATTTCAATACTGTTGCTAATGTTTATTGTGTTTTTGTACACTTGACACGTTTCGTTCGTTCGCTCGTTTTTTCATTCCTGGGCATGTGATAAATCACAAGACTCTCACCCACACACTCGCACACACATTCTCAAAAGTACATGTGTGTGTGTGGAGGAGATAACAGCCAGCAGCTGCGTTTAATGAACCAGCCAAGACTTCGCAAACTTTTTGGGACTCGTTTGTCAAACGAACAGCAGCTACAACCAAATCGAAATTGACATATAGCAGCCAGCTTCCAGTTGTCGACAACGAATTAATAATACACTTACTGATTTATTTGTTATTCTTTCATACATAAAGTTAACATTTAAACTCAAATTACGTCTGCTCATTACCTTCACTGAATATCAACTAAACCAAATATTGTCTGTTTCTGTACGTTAATGGCATTATTCGTAAGTCCATATATTGGGTTTAAGGATAGAGTATATTGGCTTGTGCTGGTCTCAAGTTAAGTTTATGTCCCTCAAAAAGTTCGGTGATACACAAATTTTATTTTTGTAAAGAAATCTACTAATGAAATGTCAAAATCGACTGAAAAGGTTGTTTTGGCTTCGATTTTCCAAGCTGCAGAGCCAAAGAGAATACATTGTGCTCAAGTTGTTTTAGTTTCAGTTGATTACTCACCGTGTGATAAGTTTTTAAATGCCTATGAACGAGTATTACGCAGTCGTTTACAGCGTTTCGCAATTTTCTGACTTGTTTTTCTCTTGTGGAAAATATGGCGAATTTACGCATCGAGAGCTTCAGCATGCTTCATTGAATTTAACTTCATAAAAACGCGTATACATATACATATGTATGTGCATATATGTCGTGTGGCGTACATGAGATGATGGACGGAGTAAACATGTCTGACAATATAAAAAAATTGTTGCCAGTTGATTTCGTTGCTTATTCAGAATTCTGTTTGTGCCCAATTGGCGCATCAGGGCGTTAATATATAGCTACGTTGCTCTAATGGGAGGGAAGTAATCGAAAATTGTGTCTGTGTCGCAGTTTTTAAGAAAAACAAATTGAATTTGTTCAATTATTAACATTAAACAACTGAAAACTGAAAGCAAAAGCTGTTGCTATTGAACCGCATCAAATGAAGATGATTTCCATTAGTCATTCGAAACGTAGAATAACTGCAGATGATTCATAATGTATCACGAAAAGTGAGTGCGCCCTGTGTCAATTGGAAGAGGAGCTCACAAATAAATGAACTTCGGCAAAAAACAACAAATAGCTAACAAGAGCAATAACGAATGAACTGAAATAAATGGTAAAACGTAAATGTCTTTTACGCTCAGAGGTAAACGTGAGCCAAACTTCGCAGCTGCCACTTCTGTTGCCCAAGCTGTCGGAGGATGGGGAGGCAATCGCAATCGCAATTCGTTGGGCAATTGACGATTGTCAAAATTTGTCAAAAAAACAAGTACGTTTTCGCATCAACATCTGATTGAAAATCAGCAACACCTTAGAGTTACTGCAATAAATTCATTGCGCCAGCTGCTAGACAAACGAAGCCGTCACTTGAGCCAAATGTTGTTGTTGTTGAAGTTGATTTCCTTGGCTCGTTGGAAAATGAGACAACAAATCAATGTTAATGGCAGTACAATTGCACAGGTGTGGAATTGTCAAACAATCTGAAGCATAAATCAAACAAGCTGAAAATAAAGGCGACACGAAAGCTTTGCAGCTCTACACAATCCCATAATTAAATCAAATTAATAAATAATAATCATATTATATTCGCTTTACAAAATACTATCCTAAACACGATTCACTTCCAATTCAAATCCAAACTACAAATCTTCTGCGAACACAAAAATGAATTAATTCATCTTTCATTTTAGGTTGACTTGCGACATTTGAAGCAAACCGCCGACTCGGATAACATTGAAGTGGGCATCGATCTGCAGGACTATTACATCTCAGTCGAATGGGATATTATGCGTGTGCCGGCGGTGCGCAATGAGAAGTTCTACAGCTGCTGCGAGGAGCCCTATCTGGATATTGTGTTCAATCTGACGTTGAGGCGAAAGACACTCTTCTACACAGTCAATCTGATCATACCATGCGTCGGCATATCATTTCTGTCCGTGCTGGTATTCTATCTGCCCAGCGACTCGGGAGAGAAGATTTCACTCTGTATCAGCATTCTGCTATCGCTGACTGTGTTCTTTTTACTGCTGGCCGAGATTATTCCGCCGACGTCGCTGACGGTGCCGCTGTTAGGCAAATACCTGCTCTTCACTATGATGCTGGTCACGCTCTCTGTTGTGGTAACCATTGCGGTGCTGAATGTCAACTTTAGGTGAGTTCATATATGGAACGATTGTTTCCGAGTGCGTAACTGATGCATGTGCCCGTAGATCGCCAGTGACGCATCGCATGGCACCTTGGGTGCAGCGCGTCTTCATACAAATCCTGCCCAGGCTACTCTGCATTGAGCGGCCCAAAAAGGAGGACCCCGAAGAGGATCAGCCGCCCGAGGTGCTCACAGATGTCTTTCATTTGCCGCCAGACGTGGACAAGTTTGTTAACTACGACACCAAGCGCTTCAGTGGAGACTACGGCATACCAGGTAAGCTTTCACCTCTAAGCCCCTCTGCCAATGGACAGGACAGTTGTAAGCGCCTTTGTCAAACTCAACAGAATTCTTTAGAAGCTCGACAAAGCTTCCATTTTTATTTCAGCTTGAGGCAAACTTTTTGTTGTTCACAACTTTGGCATTGTTGCAATTGTTGCTGCAGCTAGATGCGAGACTTGATGTAGGTTCTAGGTCCCGCCTTTGTTGTCGCCTTAAAATTTATGCTTGTTTTCAACTGGCTTTAGCTGGCGCATTAAGTAACCAGCTCAGAGTTTTCTATACTTGGGTAACCAGGCAACCAGCCAAGCAGCCAAGCTTATATTTCGTTTAAATATGCGCAACTTCATTGAAATTATATGAATTTGAATGCCCAACGCCATTGCTGTAAGCTCTCAGTGCATATAATTTATGGCAATTAACGGGCAATTGCACTGCCAAGTAGCACAATGATGCCAAAGAGAACGGCGAACAGGCAGCAGGCAACAGAAACCGAGACAAACAGAAATCGAGACAAACTAACAGGCGAACAAGTAGACAAGTTGCATAAGTTGCTCCTGCAACTAGTGAAAACTTGCGGCAACTCAGCAAAGAATTATTCGCTTTCTAAATTAGTTTTGTATCGTTTTGTCACTGTCGTCGGCGCCATTCGGAACGCTCATTACAAAATGGTGGCAAAACTAAAAACTAGAAATAATACAACAGACGTGCACAAAGGAAAACTTGTTTTAATAAGTGCGCAAAGAACTGGTGCAATAAATACAAAAAAAAAATAATAATTTGACAAAAAAAAATAATTTGAACTTTCATAAATTTTTAATAATTCTTGAACTGAGTGAATTCCGTTAGCGAAATAATTTTTCATAAATTCACAAATAATTAATTCAATTATATATAGTCGAAAACCTTCTTAAAAACAACACCTTGCACATGCGGCTACAGAAAAAACAAGAAAATAAAGCAGGCCTTGTATATCGGATATGCATCAATTAGCTATTTTAACCGCTGCAAATCCCACTTACTATTAAGTATACGACACGTAAAACCACTCAAAAAGCAGACGCCACGGAATTGCAGTTGCCCACGAAGCGCCAAAAAGAAAGCCACAAAACTGAAGCTTAAGCCACTTGGTGACTATTTTTCGCCATCCAAAAGTCCAACCGGCTTTCAATTAACGCTTTTCCTTTTCCTTTCTTTCAACTTTTCGCATTCCCCTTTTATGGGAGGGAACGAAGGAGATATTGAAACTTTAAAACAGCCTGTCAAATAAATACAAAATAAGTAGAGTGCAGCTAACTATTTACTGAGTTTCTTTATTGTTTCTGCTGCTGCTGCTACTGCTGTTGCTACTTTCCAGCCTTTAGTCTGCACCTCCTTAGGGACATTGCGAAGAAATAAAAAGGGCACCAATACAAAGCAGAGCAGAGAAAAAGTTACAAATTGCATTTGCGCATAAAAAAATGGAAAATAAAATGGGGCCACATCAAAATAAAAGAGCTGCGAAATAGCTAGCAATTTGATTTACCAAATGCTGTTATTGCGCTCTGCTATAAAAAAAAACATAACCGAACGATGAGGGCAAGGAGTAAAATGTGCGCAATTAAAGATGTTCAAGCATAAGCTAAACGGCAAATAGAATAAGCAGATGAAAAGCAGAGACAGTGAAAATGCAAAAATCTAATAGAGTGTATACTTCTCTGGCTCACTGTTACATAGCTGCTAACTTTTTGTGCGATATAAGGAGAGCATCCAGATTTGTAGCATAAGATATCGAGTGACTTAACATATTAGATTAAGCAGATCAACTGAACTGAAATATATAGCCCTATCATATAAGCTTCGAGATGCTCCCAGTGAACAAATAAGGTAAACGTATGTTTATTTTTGCAAGTAAATAAAATAAATGAATTTAAAAAAAAATAACACAAAAACAAAAACTATTTGAGATCCAGTAACAGCACAAAAATCAATCTTCTAAAAAGTAAAGTCCTGTTCTGGTAGTAAGTCTTGATAGCCTTCCTTCTTAATAGAAACCCAGTCAGGTCCAAAGACAAATCTGTCCTATACCAAGGTTATTGCTCTTCTTTTGCGGAATCACCGATTCAAGTTTCCTGTGCTTTTAGTGCTCAACGGATCAGCTGCAGCGGGCGCAAGAGAGCTAATACAGGGAGAGGATCATCAACGTTTCCACTCTTACAACTAAAAACTCTAACTGCAACTCTTACAAGTTACCTCATAATTTGATAACAATTAATACTTTATCTAAAATTGTTCATACAATATCTCACTTGATCTCTTTTCAGTGTTACCCGCTGCTCATCGCTTCGATTTGGCGGCGGCCGGTGGTATTGCCGCCCATTGCTTTAGCGATCCGCCTCTGCCCTCCTCACTGCCACTGCCGGGCGCCGATGACGATCTATTCAGTCCATCGGGTCTCAATGGCGACATCAGTCCGGGCTGTTGTCCAGCAGCTGCGGCAGCAGCAGCCGCAGCCGCAGCTGCTGCAGCCGATCTCAGTCCCACATTTGAGAGGCCCTATGCACGGGAAATGGAAAAGACTATAGAAGGGTCGCGCTTCATAGCACAGCACGTGAAAAACAAAGACAAGTTCGAAAGCGTAAGTATTGAATAACCAAGTGCAATTTCTTCTTATTTCTATCAGAGTATTTGTTAGTGGATTGCAATCAACCAGCAGCTAATTAGCTGTTGCACAGAACATTCCAACAACATCAACTTATACAAGAGTGTTATAAGACTTTCTGACACTTTCTCACTGCTTTCAAACCAATAACAAGTTCAATTGAAAGCATTGTTTGAGCGCAATTTCAATTGACAAAAGCTACAATCAATGTTTTGATTGCGATTAATTAAAGCGAATTGATGCAAATTCGTTACGAACTTTATGTAATTCACTTTGCTCCTAAAAGCGTAAAATGAAAACGGACAGATGGTAGTGGGAAAACGACATTACGTCACAAAATGCTGGCATTCAAAATTAATCCGTTTTCGTTACGCCCATCGCATACGTTGGCCAGACTAGCGTCAGACCACGAACCAGTCAGCCGACATGCCGAACTAGCGGGGTCGCGACGTGTTTACGCCGCTTCCTGATAACCCGCATTAGTCAGCGAGCCATGCAGCCGCTCGAATCACGTTGCTTGCATTTCTCTAATCAAAAATTGTAAATGGAAGATGAGCTGGCTGGGGCAGGGAGTGAATGCGAAAAGGGAAGGCTAACAGTGGCGGAGACACAGGGACACAGGGCAGATCGGGCGCATCGTCACGTTGAACTGAATTCAGGCTGAGTGATTGAGTTGTTTGTGGCCAAATAGTTGGCAGCGTGCAATCGGAAAGCGCAATTCTGGATTCAGAGTGCAAGTTTGCCAATCATTGTGGCCACAGCCAGGCAATGCCCTGCCCTGAATCAACTCGGTTCGGGTTCAACTTATCCAGCGCCAATTTCGAATCAATAACGAAATTGAAATAGATTTGGTAATTCATTTCTGAAAAGCTTTCACAAAGTGTTGTGGCAACATTGCGGACTTCAGCTTTTCAAACCAAAATTATTTTAATTAATTCTTTAACAGTTAGACATATATAAAGAACGAAATAAATATGCAATGGCCTTGACTGAAGGACTGCATTCTTTTTTTTTAGAAATATATATATTTTTAAATTCTGTATCGATAAGCATCAATAAGCTAACCATTTGAACTGATATCTTAGGAATTGAATTGATATCGTGAAATTATTTTCAGTAATTTGGAACTTGAATTCACTTGAAAAACTTCAACTCAGGCTAACAGATACGAGTCCAATTTGGATAGTTAATTTGGCTATATTTTACACGCCTCTTTGAGTCGTACTTAGATATATGTAGTTACTTATAGATAGATAATATCTCTGTCTAATTTTAATTGCTTAGACTTCAATGCGTATACTTCATATATTCTCAACAATATATATTTTCTTCGACAGGTGGAGGAGGACTGGAAATATGTTGCCATGGTATTGGACCGTATGTTTCTATGGATTTTCGCAATCGCTTGCGTTGTCGGCACAGCGCTAATTATATTGCAAGCGCCAAGTTTGTATGATGAATCGCAGCCGATTGATATACTATATTCGAAAATTGCCAAAAAGAAGTTCGAGCTGCTCAAGATGGGCAGTGAAAACTCCTTATAGCGTCCACTTGGGTTCGCAGCGGGCTGGTGGAATTTAATCATCAGCTCGTTGCGAACCCTGTTCGCCGCACGCGACGATGATCGTGGATAATATACGATGAGCCAAACCATGAGTGTCTCGTCGCCGTTATACAACACTAACAGCAGCAACCAGAGCAGTATCAGCAGCAATAGTGTTAATACCGTTGTCGATAGCAATACCGATAACAATAACGCAACGATAAACAGCTCATGGAGCCCATTATAAGTAGCGGAGCGAAGCGAACATTGGAAATAGAAAACAAACAAAAAATAAAAATAAAAACAATCGAACGATTGCGATTGCGATTGCGAGTTTACGAGCAGTTGATCAAAACGTGTATGTAAAGTAAAGGAAATCAAGTATTGTAGTGTTGCGTAACGTTAATCACGTCAATAACCGTATGCAAGATCAACTTTGACATATGTATATGACACTGACACGACGACCCTCCATAGCTGGCAAAGCTGAGGGTTTAGCTAGTAAGTTTTTGATGGATGTGTGTGAGAAGGATCGTACATTATGCATGTGCGTGTGTAAGTGTTAGATGGTTGTGCAGTGTTGCATAATGTGGCAGCCAGTGTTGTAAAAACAAGAAAATAATATAAAAAAGCAAACGTATTGTAATTTGTATTGTATTTTTGAGCGCCAAAAAGTTCCTTGTTGATTTTTAGTTCTACAGTTTCATAAAATAGAACAACAACAAAACACATTACAAAATGTTTTAAAACGGCATTTTAAATTCAGAAGAAAAAAAACCAAAAAAAAACATAAAAATTAAAGAAAACAAAAATGAAAATTGACTGCATGTGTTCAGTGTTTTTGTATGCGTGTGTTTGAAAGTGTTATCGTAATCAATTTTAATTATTTATTTATTTGTGCATATTTTTCGCGTAATTTTTACCAAAATATGAATATAACTTAGCTAATGCAAGTTGGCAAAATGCATCAAGTTTGAAACTGGTTTTAGCGTAAGTAATACCTAATTTATAAGTAACTAAATTATGTATCGATGTTAGCATAATTAGTCGCTAAGTCTTAATTAGTCTTAGCTAAGCTACGTAAGTTTTAAGCCAACTAAAAATACTATTAACAAAACCAAACCAAAAAGTTCAGCCACACGGCGACTTGGTCAAATGAAGCGCGAAATTCTGAAATAAATTTAGTTAAAAATGTTGCATAAGACAACATCCAATTTTTAAACTCACATTTTTACTACAAGAGATACCCACACACATACACATACACACATGTATGTATTACCATATGTATGTAAATTGTAAGTATATATAACACGCATATATATGGTTTATATATATACATATATACTTAAACATAGTTTAAACTCACGACAAATTTAAGACAATTCAAATTCAATAACTAAAGTTAATTGCAAAAGTGAAAAGCAACTTGAAGGAAAAAAAATATAAAAAAAAAAACAATTTAAAACGTAAATCAAATCTGCAAGAAAATACACTTAAAATAAACTACACTTTGTTAAGGAAACTAATTTACGCTATTCGTTTGTGTCATTTTTCAATATTCAGCTAGACGAAGCGCCATTTTCGAAAACATAAATTCGACTTTAAGTAAGAGTTCAACGAATTCTGTTACAGGTTGTCTGTTCTTTGTACTCAATTCCGCAGATGCTTTGCATATTAAATATTAGGAGATTCAATTTAAAAACTTTTTAATTGCCTGCAGCTGAAGTGCTGGAGGACCGGAGGGCGGAGCTGGGCATCGCCATAGCCTTGGCTGAGTGCAATACACAAAGAAACACCTTCAATGGAAATGCCAGAGCAAACGAAACTTGCCGCAAGGTTTTTTTTATTTGCATTTTTAATTGATTTTACAAAAGTTTTTCCCACTACATCAACAGCAGCAGCAGCAACAGCAGCGGCATCAGCAGCAGCAACAACAACAAGCAAAATATTAACAACGCAAATGCCATTGGGCGTTGGCAAGCGCCGCAGGGTATGCAACAAATTAAGTGAGGAATGCAATTTGCATGAATGTGAGTGTGAGTGTATACGTCTGCGTGTGTATGAAAGTTAATAAAAAATTCGAAAAGTACACCAAAAATTTGCATAACTTGCATGCAAACGAATGAGGCAAAAACCATAAATGAAAACTGCTGAAACTATTAGCAAGGAATGCCGCGACAACTCAGCTCAGGGTTGTCAAACTCTTTTGCTGTTTATAATTGTTATATTCGTCGCTGTTGTTGTTGCTACTTCTGCTGCTGCTGATGTTGATTTAACTTTGGTTTGGGATTTTGTGCGTGCAAGAGGGGACAAAAGTTTAATTAAAATTCCACTTCGAAAATATTCAACATTTGTGAATGTGTATTAATTAAAATAGTTTTTCAAGCCAACAAATATGTCAGTACGACACCAAAGCTCGAACAAATGAATGCACAAATACACATACATATATATCTATACATATTTATTATAAACTGCAATGATTGTGTACAATTATTTGCCATTGCAGCGATAATTGGCAAATGCGTTGAGCATTGAGGTGTTTAAATGTTTGCAGACATTTTCAGAATTTGTAGGACATTTACTGAAATATTAAGTGATTGATATTAAATTGAATGTCTGGAGAGTAAAGAGATGCACAAACGAATAGCGAAGCACACAGCAAACATATAGAACACAAAATAAGCAAACAATTGAAGGAAATCAAGAAACACAGTAACAAAACACACACACACAAATGGAAAACGTAATTTAAATAAATTAAAATTTAAATAGCTGCACCATTTTGGTGTATTAAAATGTAAAGTGCATAAAAATCAACAGTTAACATTTTTTAAATATTTAGCTATTAACTAAACGTAAACAAATGTTATTTAAAACAAAATATCATAAATCAATTTATTAATAAAATAAAAAATTGCATAGGCATTTAAAAAAACACACACACGCACACACATACATATATACAAAGAGACATTCAACCGCAGGCAGCCCATAACAAAATATAATAATTGTACATTGAATAATTACATCAAATATTAAACGTATTCAACTGAGCTTATAAAGTTAAAATCCCAAAAGCACTCGAAAAAAAAAACAAATAAAAATTAATTAATAAATTAACAAATTAAAAAAACATAAAATGGCAAACAAAATGAGCAAAAAATAATAAACAGCTATTTGACAACTGTCTCGACTTCCGTTTTGAAAAGCATATAATTAAAAGTCTGAAAAAAAATATTTATAAACCCACATAATGAATATATAGAGTATATATACGAATATATACGCATACACATCTAAACACATAATTATATATGCAAAATCTAAGCACACAGTATGTATGTACTTAGGGCGGAACTAAGTAGCTAAACCGTAAAATCAGAAATCTCAAAACAAAAAATAGAAAGAAAATGATGCTGCGTTCAACTTATTCACAGAGAGAAATCTATTGGCTAATATCAAAAATATGAAAATAATATTTAATTATAAATATAAATGATTTTTTTCATTGTTTGTTCTAACATTTCCAAGGCATAGAACAAAAATCTAATGTGTATGTAAATAGAAAACAATTCATGGAATTAAATAAAAAATTTGTAATTTTAAGTTAATGCTTGCCAGAATTGTAAAGAAAATTGTACTTATCTCTGTTTTAAGGTATGTTTCCTCTATTTATAAGGCCCGCTTGCTTTGTTCCCAATGTGCATTCCACAGTTCATATAAAATTCATTTTGCAAAATTTAGCTTGTGTTGCTTGAGAGCTAAGTTTCTAATTAAGAGAAGATTACGTTTCCCCAGGGAAATAATATTGTTTCTTTATTCAAGCACATTCAGCTTAACTTAGTTTCGAAGAATTTACAACTTTTTGATAGCGGAAAGCAGAACAGATTTAAGCTAAACAAATTTTGTTATAGTTTTAGACAATCAACAAAATAAATATATTAATTATAAATAAATCGAAAAAAGATAGAAAAAACTAAAGACAAGTAAATGGCGTAACGTTTCTGTGAATAAATTAAACTAAATACCGTAAACTGCATGTTTGAATTAAAGTCGCATCTGAATTGTGTATAGCAAAAACTAGCGGCTTTATAGCATTTGTTGGAATCGAAGCCAAGGCAAGGAATGCAGACGTTTTAAAACAAAAACAAAGAAAATGTCAAACAAAATTGAAATGAAAATGGAATTTAAAAAAAAAAACATTTTTGTAAATTGTTTCACTTGGGAAAATCGACACGCTAAAGCAAAAAGAAAACAAAACCAAAAAAAAACATAGAGAACTAAAAGCATAAATATTTAAATAAATAAATAAATAATAATACAACTATAACGACAACGTACCAACTATGCAAATCGAAGGCAATTCGATAAAGTCAAATACATAGACGTGTATATGCTCTCATTGGTTGTGTTTTTAGGTTATAATCAAACTGGCTTGTGTGTGTGTGTGTGCGCAACTATATGCATACACACAAGCAAACAATCGGTCATTCAATCAATCAGTCAGTCAGTCGGTCAGTTAGTCGGTCAGTCCAACTCAAGTTCATAATTGTACAGTTCATTTGCACATTAAGTCACATTTATGTATGTAACAAATTTAAAATATTTAAAATTAAATTTAAAAAAAGTAACTCAAAAATTAATTAAAAATGTAAGCCGAAAATTATGCTAGTAATGTCAAACATTTTGAATTCGCCTTTTTAAAACGCGTTTAGTTTTAGTTTAATGTTTCAGGCTCTAGCTAAATGTTTAGTGTGCTTCATGTGACAAAATTCCAAAATATACAAATTAGTTAAAAGCCGAAAATTTAAAATAATTATGCAGAATAGTTTTGAGCACAGCAAGCAAAGTGAATAAAAACCAAGAAAAAAAATGTAATTTAAATACTGCCACAAATAAGACGAAATAAAATGCAAAAAATAAAAAAGGAAGATTAAATAATATTCATATATATATGCATACATACATATATATTACTATGACATATAGATATACATATAAATATATATATATTGAGCATGTGTGTATCTCGGCTTCACACACTTAAAATAAAACGACTAGTCAAGTAAGATACTCGTACGATAATTCAGACATTGCAAAACGGGGCTCGAAGTTAACATTGTGGTTTAAGTCTTAACACTTACTGCAACCACTAGCTATAACGTATTACTATATAGCAAGTACATATTCATAAATTGTATATATCAACGATAGTCAATACTTACACTTACACACACATTCACATACACATACACTCACATACACAATTATAAGATACTAGTTAAGCAGAAAAATAGGCTCAGATTCAAAACTTAGATCAAATTTTTCCATATGATAACAATATTATTGTCACCAGACCAACATCGCACGATAAGATATATGACAGCAACAAGAATTTATTTCAGGTACACTTGTTTTGAGTACAGTAATCACAGCAGACAACGAATTCATGTACACAGATTGCTAGATAACACAAACCACTTAGAGAATTGCACAGTTTTGATGCAGATGAAGTGCCCTTTCCAATCTGGGACCTGGTTCCTAATAGTTGAACAATGGAACTCATGAGATTCCTTAGAAAATTGTGAGATCAACTGAATTGGTTTGAACTGATTTAAAAAGGAAGGGGCGCTCACAACCACAAAGTGTTTCATTTTATGCAATTTTTGGAGCCACACTTAGCAATTACAACAAAAATAATTAGTTAAACGAAAGAAATAGCTATTAACCAAATATATTAAACAAGTAAATTATAAAAAAATCAAGAAAAATAAGTATTTAATATATATATGCGGCTTGACCCTGAGATTCAAAAACATAAAATCGGATGTCTTCCAATCAAAGGTCGTCTTTTGTAGCAAACACAACAAGAATCAAAGTCTGCGTATTTGCTAAATCAAATAATTGGAAGCGCACTGGCAAGAGGAGCAGATAAATGCAAAAACCAAAATATTAATTCTACTTAAACCAAATAAACATAGAAATACATAAGCACACGCACACGTACCCCCCACACACACTCACACACACATAGGCACTACAAGGCAACTCACCACGCATTAATTTGCATTGCACACTTTTGAGCTCACTCCATTCCAGCCTCTATTCAAGCAGTATCCATTATTATTCACAACTTATTAAGTACCTGACAATAGAAGCCACACGACTCTAGAACCTTTCAGCTGCCGCCTCCACCCAAAGCACGATCTTCAACAGCCACGTCTTGTACATAATGTCAACACACGCGCACAGCTTTGCGTTGAGTTGCCAAAAATATATTTTAAAAAATATAATTAAACCTATGAAATCAATTTTTAAAAAAAGTGCAATGAATAAAAGGTTTCAATGACAGCAAAAAAAACAAAAAGCACAACAAAATTTCAACACAAAGCACACAAATAAAGCAACCAACGCTTGAACGCATTCGACCTCAAATCCTTTTTAGTCCTATCATTAACAATCGAATTTTGCAATTCTTATCAACTGTCTTTGTTTATGTAAATCATTTGAACAAATTTTTGTGAGAGTGAACTGCAGCGAAAATGTGTTAAAAATAAAATAAATTAGATTCAAATCATTTATTAATTTTTATTTATTTTCCAGACCCGTAATATTTTATTTTATTAATGTAGATGAGTTTTTTTTCGATTTTATGGAAATGCTCATGAAGTAAACGCAAAGTAAATACAATGCTAATAAAAAATAATCACTAACAGACAAACAGTCATGGAGACACTCACACCAGCACACACACACACTATTATATATACCTAAACTGTATAAAGGCATACGTGAACGTTTTGATGGCATCGTTTTTATGATATAGCATATACAGATATTTATATATATATATATATATATATATATATATATTAATTTGAATGTGTGCGTATAACTATGTATGTGTATGTATGTTTGTGACTGACGAAACGGAAATCAAATGTGTAAGCTACTTAGTTAATGAATCTAGTTGTAATTTTTAAAATCCACAAGTACTTCAGTACTTCGCATACGCAAATTTCGATCAACAAATTTAAATTATTATGCATATATGTTATATGTATGTGTATGCATATGTATGTGTGTTTATTTTGTGTATTAACTTCTAAGTGCCGTTAGAGTTAAGCGCTTCCGTTGCATTCTTGTGTACATTTTACAAACGATTTTTCAATTTCAATATTAATTCATTAATAAAACAAGAAAACAAAATAAATCGAGATTTTGATTAATTATAAATTTTAGCAACAAGATTTTTAACTTAGAAAAACCAACAACAAAAAATGTCAAAAAAATGCAAACTACGATAAAGGAAAAATCTTGCAATTCACTGGAGAAAACAACACCACAAATTAAAGTTAAATATTAAATGCCAACGCGCATGCTACACTAAATAAATATTTGATCAGTAAATATAAATATACAAAGTACGAAAAAAAGAAAAAAACGAAAACGAAAATGAAATGAAAAATATCTAAAATAACAGTAAATGGCGCCAAACGAAATACGAAATACAAAATATCGAAACTAAACCAGATTTTAGTTGGGCGTTTGTCGCGTCAGCTAAAGAAAAAATGAAAGATTTGCAAAAATTATACACAAATCAATTTGAACTAAATTGAGTATTTAGTTAAATCAAATACAAGATGTAAGTTAATTAAGCTATGGGTATAGGAAAACGTATGTAAAATATTTGCAATTAAAACACAAAAAAAAAAACAAGAATATATTGCTTAAGCGTAGGCTAAACAAATATAAATATACTGCAAATTAATAAAAACTAAAAACAAAACACGAAAAAAATACAATGAACATGCGAACAAATGTTCGCTCATTAATATTCGAAGTAAATGTCAAATGAAAATTAAATTTTAAAAATTGCATTTACATTTCACAAAGAAAACATACATAAATATATATGTACACATATACATATAAACATATATACATCATATAATACATTCAAAATCCTCTTTGAATAACAAAAAATATACATATATATAAACTAACAAATACAAATCACACTAACTAAATGAAATTACACGCGCAGTCACAAGCACACGAAATGTAACTTGAGCAACAAAGTAACTTAACAAACAACCACAACAAACTATATAAAATAGCTAAACTAAAAAGAGAAACAAAGCCAAATAACAAATAACTCAATGCTAGCAAACGAAATGTATAACGTAAAATTTGCATTTGCAAGAAAATATGAAACAAAAGTAAAAAAAATCGATTGAAGCTAAGATTCTCTGAAAATGGCAAGCAAAAAATTGAACGAAATAACAACAGCAGCGAGTGCAATATAAAAAATATTAACATAAAAAAACAAAGTTAAAAAAAATAAACGAATGCATAAAAAACAATTACTATATAAATAAATGTTACGCGTTATTAAATAAAGAAGAATGAAAATAATTTGTTTTAAAAAAAAAACCACCTCATATGTTTTTTTAGCTATGGTATTGGGATACGGACCGGGAAGCTAATCACCTCCTTCTAGTTATTCGAAACTTTATCCAAGCAGCTAACAGACTTTATACACATTTTTCCCTTTTTGAAAATCGCTTTTATTCACGTTTCTTTTTGCTGTTCACATAAAATTGTACTTGGTAAACTGCGCTGGAGCGGACACATATTTGCCCAGAGCCAAAGCCAGCAGAGAAAACTGACAGCCGGGATAGAGCTCGTTGCAGTCCCGGGAATGTCGCTTGGAACGTCTGTAAATGCGGTCGTAATGGTGGTGCGCCTGCGGCTCATATGCCGCGACCGGCGATGTGGGCATGCTAAGCACGGCGCGAACAAGCTCTTCCAACATATTGCCCCGCTGCCCAGGGGCATGCAGGTACTTGGCACTCTCGCAAAGAGCTCGAGCCACACAAGCGCGTCCGTTGAAGCCCATGCTGACCAAAGGAAGCCAGGTTGTGGTTAGGCTAGGCTGACATAGATTGGAATTTACTTACTGATCAAATGCGGAATGTATTTCGTCGTAGAAACTTCGCCTCGAGCGGCGCTGCAGCATGGGCTTGGTGAGATTAGCAAAGCCGTGTGCATGCTGTATAACCCAATTATGATTGGGAAGATCGTAAGCAACGCCCCAGTTGACTGCCCAGCTCAAATAGTCCACATCGGGATTGCCAATCATTCCAATGGTTAGGCAAATGGCCGCCTATGCATGGAGACAATTAATTGAAGCCACATCAACGGGCTGCATAACTGAACTCACACCGAAACCGAAGAGCCCTCCGGAAATGCCAGATATCGCTTTTGCCGACTGAGTAACTTTGTCACCGCTTTCGTGGCATTGCCACCTGCCCCAGCCACATGCTGTGCCTCGGCTACAGGTTCTTGGCTCACTGACAGCAAAACTATTGCATTTAGCGTCAAGTGCAGTAGACGAGTCATTTTTACAGTCTGCCGTTTGAACAGACACTGATTCAGCTTATCGATACTTAAGTGCTAACTCACCTGCTCTGCACTAGATTTACCTCTTTGGTGGCCTGCAGCTTAAGTGCTGTTGCCTCTATTGATTAGCGTCTGCCTGCAAATACTCGCACAACTGCTCACAATTAACTGGCTACAGTAACGCCCCAATGTCAACAGCAACCGCATGGACCATTGCCTCACGCAAATTTATACAAATTCTCGACCCTCACAAAAACTATGCTGTATTTACACCAAATGGAAGCGGAAAACCAACACAAATTAAGAGAGAGAAAAAATGCCAGCGAGAACCAGAAATTGGTTAAAAAATTATTCAAATATATATAAAAATATAAATATATACACATAAATGAGTATTTGTGTTTATTTGCATACATATATTTATATTTATTTATGTGCCCGCTTTTGGATATTTGCTTAAATTCAATTGCACTTTTTAGCCCGGCACATAATAAAAAACACTTTTTTGCGTTTTCAATTTATGGCCTCTTTTTTAGCAAACATTTAAAAAATGTGTGTTTCCGACTATTCTGAAAAAACTGTGAGCGAAAAGCCAAAAGTGCTGGGTTTCATTTGTGCAAAATAAATGTTGAGCTTTAAATTAAAAGATATGTTTATACAATTATCAAAAGAAACAATTCGAAAAATCATAATTAATTAAAATATTTTTATATTAATCTATCTCTCTATATCTTTCTCCCTCTATAAGCCCCTCCAAATCTCTCCATTTAATTATCTCTAAGTCTCCATCAAGTTCTTATTTTGTTTCGCTCTCTTTCTCGCGATCTACTTTTGTTACTAGTTCTATCTGTCTCTTTCTCTCTCTCTCTCTCTCTTTATCTTCCTCTTTATCAATAATTATTTATATTAGTAATTTTTTTATTATTTTGCTAGTTCCACAAAGATGAGAAAATAAAACACAAAACCGCAGAATGCTCGAGCCTTTTTTTACAAATTAAAGTTTCAGCAAGTATTGATACTCACCCAATACCCATCAGCATTTCATATATGCGATAGGAGCTAGAGTGATAGAGCAGTCAACTCAATCTTTATTATTACTGATTAACTAAAAGCCGAATGCGTTTCCCTTATACGTAAACAACACATTTGATTGTGATTTGTAGCTTTATTTATTAAATGCATTTGTAAATTTACCCTGGAATTGTTGGCTGAAATGTAGCAAAAAGCTCTGAGGACAGTAGGCGCCATACCACTGAGCGCACTCATGCAGCGAATGGCCAGCGGTAAAAGCCTTGTGATATGTCGGCTTATGGGCAATCTCCGAATGCACATAACGCAGCAGAATGCGAAAGATATCGTGGAACAGCGACTGACCAGGTGGCACCAGCAGATGACGGGACTCGCACAGCGTTCGCATGATGCAGTAGCGCGGCTTATACTGATGACTGTTCAAAAGAGAGAGAAAGAGAGAAAAAAAGGCAAAGAGAGATTTTAAGAGTATTATACACTTAATGCTTTTTGGTGTATTCTCAGTACTAACATCTCAGACAGCATTATCAGCAAATCAAAGAGCATTCCATGCGGACTCTGGCCCTCATTCACGAGATTGGCGCCGTTTCTTTTAAGCTCGCGACCCAGACGCCGGGTCGCTGCTGAGGGCCGGCAGTAAAAGTTGCCAGATGCATCCTTGACCAGCTTCGATGCTGGACAGCCGCTGGATGGCTGCTGCACCGAGGATTTGCGGTGTCCCAGAACTGGTGTTACTTGCGGATATGCGTAATAAAACGAGTGTATGGGATCGGCTGGACTTAAGGGAATAATCAATGGTTGCTGAGGATAGAGCACAGGTACTTCTGGTGCAGGTATAACAGGTACTGCAACTGGTACAACTTTTGCTGGAGTCGGAGGGGGCGGTGGAGGAGGTGTCGGTGGCGGTGGTGGCGGTGGTGCCGGTACGGGTTTGGGTTTTCGTCTGCGTCTGGGAAACAAGTCATCCACGGATGATGGCAGTGGATAAATAGCAGTTGCCTCGCCAAGCACTATCAAACCTCTAGGTCTAGTGTCCAAAATAGCCTTAGCACAATTGCATGTTAGCTGTTGAGCAAAAGAGCAGGATATGGTATTAGCTGACCTTATAGTTATTTAATCTTAATCCTTTTAAGTTTCAAAGCATTTTGATAAATTAACGCTTGATGAAACCTGATGCTAATAGGGCACACGTAGAAGCTTAGGTTACTCACAGAGACAGCTGAGCCCGCCTCAAAGATAAGCCAGCGCTTTTGCCGACGTAGCAAGTGGGATATGTGCTTTGGTTCCTCACGGAGAAAGCTCACGGCGCGGCTATTGGAGCTAGAACTGCTGTTATTTCCAGCGCTGACCAGAATCAGCAACGTGGTAAATAGCAGCACTACGAGTAAACACGGTATGCGATCACCCATAACTGCGGCCAGTGCAAGCGCAGATCGACTGAAGAGTGGATAAAGCGGTTCGCGAGCTGCAGACTGTCGTTGGACTAAGAATTTTGAGACACGCGTGGCTATTCAATTTAGATCTAGAGTGCTGACCATGATTGACCGCATTGCAAGTTTGTTGGTCGAACAACTAGCTCTAACTGGTAACGTGCGGAGGTACAGGGTTGAACATAAAGAATTGGGTCAAACTTGAAACCAGTTTGCAATCTAATTTAATTAACAACTTGGCATTTGCCATACATCAATGGGAAATGACAGGTGATGGGACTATGTCACAAATGCTGCTGCTCATAATCAAATCAATCTTTAATTCAGTTGTCGAAACATTGTCAGCCACAATATGTTATCCACTTGGCTTGTTCCTGGATTGGAATTGCTGCTGCTGCTTATGTTGAGCCAATGCCAGCGCGGACTATTTCTGAATGCTTGGGCCAAAAGCGATGCGTTGAATGTGTTTGCCATTGCGCCACAGCTGACAACAACCATTGAAGCGCATACGAATCATGAAAGCCGCGTCAACAATATCACGCTGACATATGCTGAGGAAATGGACCCATTGGAGCCGCATGCTGCTTCATTGAAGCCATTGTCGCAGCGTAAACTCTCGAGGGGAAAACGTTTTGTGGCATTTCCTGTGGGTTCATCGGCATCGGTAAGTGAACAGCACACAACACATACACATACATAGGCAATAGCATCAAAGTTACTGCATAGTTTAAGCTAAATTCTTTACAAACTTAGGCCGCAATCTGTCTGACCACAGGCGTTATTGGCAATCCCCACTTCTTGTACTTTAGCTTCGGTCTAAATTGGGGCATTGCCTACGATTTGCCCAACATCACATGGGTGTTACATAATGCCCATGGCTGGAGCAGAAAGAAGCCAAAATTGGCACTCGCCAAAATCAAACGCAGACACCGACGTGATCTGTATGGCAATTTGGAGACAATGATAGACAGGTGAGTTTAAATAAAAATTAAAACAAAAACTCGGTGAGTACTGAAGAGATTTGCCTTTCTCAAGTGTACTAGAAATGTTTGTTTACATTGATTATTCAGGATTGAGGTGCATAAGGTTCGTATACTAATTGAACCATTCCACAATCCTGCACTTGACACATGCTCAGCATAGTTTTATGATTCACATTAGTTTCGTATATTTCAAATTTTCTTTAATTTAAAATACTCTTTTTAATATTTATTTACAACATTTATAATTTGGAATATTATGAAAAAATAAATCATTTTATTTTAAAACCCACTTTATAACTTAACTAATCGAGTAAATCAAGTAATCGAAATAAAACTTTCTTACTTACTTTTGAAGTTATTATACTCAAAACAAATTTCACAAATATGTTAAAGTTTTATAACCCGAAGCCATTAAATGCGAGAATTCAGAGTAAAATGTTTTTCTGGAAATGTATGTAACAGGCAGAAGAAGGCGTGGCAGGCCTCGTAAAGTAAATACACAGTATGTGTTTTATCAATAAGGTGACTTTTAAGATATAAAATAAAACACGTATCGTACAATGTTTGAAAGTCATTTTTTATTCGAAATAGCCTCCATTCAACTAAATACAACCATTAGAATAATCAACTAATTTATAGACTCTTTGATTTCATCTGAAGAAATGTTCTTTACCACCTGTGTCATGGTTTTAGATCAGGAAAATACGGATGGTGGTCGATGATACAAATCTGTTTTTTCATCAAAAATTCAAGAACTTTTTAGTTTTGTAAGAGGTCCATTTAATATTTGCTCTTTGTTCCATTGTATTTTTACGACACAAGCACAAAACATACTCTCATTTAAAAAGCTCCTAACTTTTTAACCTGACAACCGATTTACATGCAGTTGGCTGTATTTGAAAGGTGAGACCTGTACCTTTCTAATGTTATTAACGTTCAATAGATGGCATAACGTGTTCCATGATTTCAATAAAAAAATCATTTATTTATTGAGCATACCTGGTATATTCTAGTTTAGGATTACGAACTAAGTCTATCTAACCATCTCCATTTGTCCGTCCGTGTGATCGCGTCGATCACATAAATCACAATAGCAAGAGGCTTGAAATATTAAGTTTATATTTCTCTTATCATTCCGCCCACGATGAAAATCGATAATTTGGCTACGCTTTTAAAGCATAGTTTGAATACCAATATATAGAGAAATCCAATTTACTGTGAAGGTTTTCTGAAAGCGCAGTCACTGAACTAACTGCACAGTAACCAAAGAGAGCAGTCTGACTTGTTTTAACTACTTTATAATTAAACTATTGCTCTTCACTATTAAGAAATAATTTTTTCATCTTCAGCAATTTATGAAATCTTATTATTATTTCACAGAATTTGACTAACAATTACCTTATTTTAGTTATTCGATTAAAACTTTATGTTAAGACAGCATCATAAAGTCGTCCACGTGACACGATAACCAAATGTTTGAATTTGGATGCATTCAATATATATCTCAATAGCAAAATCATATATCAATCAATACTTTACATCAATACTTTACAAACACAAATTGTTCGTGAGCTGTGTGCAAATACAAACTGACTGACTGCTTCAAATAGTTGTCAATATTTACTAAATATTATAAATAAATTATAATAGATTTTTATTAATTTTAAAAATATATTTTAATAGACTTCAGCACGGACTATAAACAAACAGAAGCAAAACTAATTTCGATACTTTCTCAATCAGCATAACTCCCCATCAGCATTTGAGCATTGGATTAAAAAAAAAGAAAAGGCATCTTCTATGTACGAATAAAATAATTGACTGCGATTTTCAGTTTTATTATATTTATTTCCCAAGCGAAGGAGTATACTGGTTTCTTGCAATGTTGTGCTCTCCGTTCGTCCGTCCGTCCGTATGTATGCAAGCCATTTCGTTGCTATTGAAGCATAATAAGCATAATCTTATAAAGTGTAAAGGTTTTCCCTAGACTCCCACAAATCGGAAATTAATCTGATAGAAACTTGAAACTTGGAACATATACTCGCGTTGACGACCCGGTATAAAAATATATGGTGGTTATATCTACGCCCAGTGGGATCATGGACCCAATCTACGCCCAGTGGGATCCGTCCATATGTATGCAAGCCATTTCATTGCTATTGAAGCTAGAGACTTGAAGCATAACCTCATATTATAAAGTATAAAGATTTTCCCTAGACTCCCACAAATCGGAAATTAATCTGATAGAGACTTGAAACTTGGAACATATACTCGCGTTGACAACCCGGCATCAAAAATATATGGTGGTTATATCTACGCCCAGTGGGATCATGGCAAATTGGGTAAAATGATATATCCTACATTTGGGGCCCACTGTTAAGAATCCTTACCGATCGACACATTATATATCCACGCCCTCTAGGGACGTATCAGATTGGATCTGACTATACAGTGTTTCGTTCAAGATCAGTTATATTTCAAACACTATTGGCACTAGGTACTTACTGTTGATCTCCTCCATTCTTGCACATTTGACGCTTGTTTGATATGTGTCATATTAACAATACCCTGTACTTTCCGCAGTTTTGAAGCCTTAGCCATAAGCAAAAGTTATGTCACCACGCCTACAAGGGGTGTAGCAAATCGGAAAAAATATATATTCTACAGATTTACCATGAGAAATTTAATTTAATGTTGACGTTTGTTAAACATTTACCAAAAATCATATATATGCCTCTTGCCTGGCAAGCACTTGGTGGTGTTGGCGGAACGCATTTGGGTTTTCGTCTGCGTCTAGCAAGCAAGTCATCAATAAACAAACAGTCACAAGAATCAAGATCTAATGTCCAGCACAGCCTTTAAGCAAAAGAGCAGGAGATGGTATTAGAATTACCTTACCTTATTAGTCATTTAAACTTAATCCTTTTAAGTTTCCAAGAATTTTAAAATGCTTTTTGATCGATGAAACTTTGGTGCTTGATGCCGATTGGCCACATGTAAAAGATTTGAAGGCAAGGTTACTTACTGAGACGGATGTGCCCAGCTCAAAGATAAGCCAACGCTTTTGCCGACGAAACAAGTGGGATATGTGCTTTGGTTGCTCTCGGACAAAGCTAATAGCGCAGCCATTGGAGCACTGATCAGAGTCAGCAACGTAATAAACAGCAGTAACTACGGTATCCGATCACCTCTAACTGCTGCCAATGCAAGCGTAGATAGACTGAAGTGCGAACAAGGCAGAGTGAAGCCAGACAAAGAATTTTGAGGCACGCGTGTCTAATCAATTTGGAGTGCTGACCATAATTAACCACAATGCAAGCCGCAACAATGTCACGCTAACCAATACTGAGAAATTGGTTCAAATTTGCTACGCTGTCGGGCTAAAGGGCTTGACATCATGCTTGAAACCAGTCTATCTAGTTTAATTAACAAGCATTTGCCACACATAATTCTGAAATGTCTGACTGCGGCAGACGATGCCACAAATGCCACAGCCCAAAGTCAAAGGCAAATCTTTGATTCAGTTGTCGAAAAATACGCAGCCAGAATATGTCGTCCACTTGGCTTGTTCCTAGATTGGAATTGTTGCTGCTGCTTATGTTGAGCCAATGCCAGCGCGGACTATCCCTGAATGCTTGGTCCAAAAGCGATGCGCTGGATGTGTTTTCCATAGCGCCACAGCTGACAGCAAGCATTGAAGCTCATACGAATCATGAAAGCCGCATCAACAATATCACGCTGACAGATGCTGAGGAAATGGACCCATTGGAGCCGCATGCTGCTTCATTGAAGCCATTGTCGCAGCGTAAACTCTCGAGGGGCAAACGTTTTATAGCATTTCCTCTGGGTTCATCGGCATCGGTAAGTGCACAGCGCACAACACATCCAACACACAACACACACGGACAATGGCATCAAAGTTTCTGCATAGTTTAAGCTAAATTCTTTACAAACTTAGGCCGCAGTCTGTTTGAGCACAGGCGTCATTGGCAATCC